CAATCCATGCAGAATAATTTTTAAATTATTTTTAAAAATAAGCCTTGGCTGGACTGAAAGAAAACTGGCCACTAATTTCAGATCACTGATTTAGGAAGTCCAGAAGTCATTAAAAGACTTGTAACAAGCATTACTACAGCAATAACAGCTTGCTTCATTAAAACATCATACCACACACAGAGAAATTCTCTACACATATTCAGGTAACAGTCACTGCCTCCGAAGAAACATTTCAAAACATGATATGCCAAATGATTCAAGCACCAAGTGACTGGCAAACCTTGAGAACACAGGTGTTAAACTCCCCATTCCTATATACAAGTCGGCACTGAAACATGCAGATCCCAGCAATGCATATGCAGTAACCATCTGCTTGTGCAATTACCCGTATTTCCACTCCAAAGTCTACTGCAGGCAACAGGTGCATGAGCACTAACGCTGCAAGAAATGGACTGTTCAACCTAGCAGTCCACAAGGTATCTGCCCACGTTCAGATGGGAAAACTGAGATGTTGGACACATAGAAGACTGGTGGACAAGCCTGAATTGAGTCCAGGAGCCCTGACTTGTGTTCTGTTCCAAAAAAAGACAGTGAAGAGACTTCCTCCATGTTAACTCAGAGGACGTTATATTGGGTTACAGATCCAGTACACGGTGCCAAATCTCCTTAATTATAAGCAGGCATTTTTTTATTGAAGAGATATACTGATATACTACCCAGCTGATATGACACAAAGCTGGAACTAAAGTTTTGTTCTTGATCCTGCTGCTGCTCCAAAGAATGACTTGAGGAATTAATTTTCCTTCTCTGTCCCTTACCTTCACACTTGTAGCACTTGTGTACTGTTAGTTCCTTTGTACAGCATTGCCTCATCTACTGAGGAGAGATGTTATAAAGACACTAGGTATCAGTATTAAAACTATGTTTATGAATTACTTAAAACTATTAATTCCAGGAATCCCAAGTAGTCTTAAAAAAGGAACATTTTGCAGAGAGAATGAGCAACTGGTAAAGATACATCATGGCTGCTTTGTAGTGTGGTGACATTCTTTGCCATAGGTAATGATGAACTAATGGCAATTATAAAACTAACTTTGGAGAATGCCTTGACACTGAGTCAGCACTCAGGTGAGGCAATGTTTTATTGCAGTTCATTTTTTTTTAAAAAAAAAAAAAAAAAGGGGGGGGGGGCAATAAGAGGCTTAAGAACCATCACAGATCCTAACGACATGAGGCTAATAATCAGTATGATAAACTATCATTTACATGAATAGGAAATGGAATGGACATTTCATTTCCTACGCCTTTGTTGCCCCCATTGAATTGCACTGGTGGTGCCATTCAGGGAAGCCAGCATGGTGCCTGTTTACTAGAGAACTTTGCAAAACAAAGACAGTCACGGTCAAAACTTTGCTGGTCAATTCAGTATATTTACATGGAAGACCTCTGAAAAAAAAAAAAAAGTATTCTGAAATAGCCTCATGGTATAGTTTAGTTGGAAGTGGTAAGTATCAGGTAATGATTTCACAGCTATCTAGATGTGTGGTGGCACAGAAAAAAGCATCTGGTTTTCAAACAGAGGCTTGATCAAACTTTCCTTGTCCAGGCAAAAATACCACTGCACAACTCCCTTAGCAAATTGGCAAATGACAAAGTGTTCTGCATGCAGAAAACAGTATTGTCCAACTCTGGCTCCAGAGAAATCTGGCACAAACACTTTGCTTTCAATAGGAGCGGATGATGTGCAATGCCAACATCTGAAAATACATTTCAGACACACGTACAATGTACCATCTGAGCAGCTCCCAGCAAATGATCCTGTTTTCCTTCTTTCTTTTAACTAAGAGAATGGAATTGTTCCAGATTTACAATGAAACAAACTGAAGGCACAGTTGGAACCACTGTTTTTAAGAAGACCTTGCTATGCCATAACTTTTCATGGTTCAGTTGCTAAATTACACATTATAAAAATAAGTAAGCACAATTGAGAGACTGTGTTAATCTCAGAAGTTTAAACATCGCCCTGTAATGACCACTTTATATTGGCCTGTAGTAAAGTATTTTATGGGGCATGCAGGACATTTATCCACACGCGTACGTTAAATACTCCTGGGAATTTTCTCACATAGAGAGACAAGGCCCGACACAAAACTAAATACGTACAAAACATTGCTGTCATTCACACTGCAACAGGAATGCCACCCAGTAAGAAAAAACTTTACAACACCTGAAAGAGATAAGAACCAATAGCCAGCATAGCAATAAGATGTTGCTTTTGGAAGTGCAGAATTTTCTAACCTGACAATGAGAGCAGATTCTGGGAACATAACAAAAAAACAGCTATCCCCTTTTGAGGAAATGAGAGTTTAGTTGTTGACTATAAATAGATTATAAGGAAGCACTGGTGGTTTGCAGAGCAGTTTACTAAAACTAAGAGTATTTGGAGCCAAGTTAGGTTCTTGCATATAAAAATTTCCTGGAATTTAGGGTGAGTTCATATGTAATTGCTCACCCAGTCAGTCTGGGGCTGAGAGACTGCACCCAACTGCCTTTCACAATTCTCTCTAGTAATACAGAAGATCCACCCAGGCTGACTCAGAGATCCCAGGTGAGAAGACTTTTAAATTAAGTAAATATGATGGTAAAGAAGTTGCAGCTTTGGTACCAGTATTTTTGTGATTTTTTTTTTTTTTAAATAATCATGCTTCAGAATAGTACCATAGCTAAGCAAGAATGAGTCAGTCAGGACAAAATATGATGCCATGCAAGATGAATGTAAGCATGCCCAGCAAGGCACTACACGAATTACTGTGTATGAAAGCATCACCTCCCTCAGCTGGTAAAAGACTCTCGAGCAGTAAACTGAAGAGAATTCTTAATCCTTCAGTGTTAACATTATTAGAGTATCATTCACCCACTTGTCTGCAAGCTGCCTTCTTCTCCCACCAATTGCTTCGTCTTACAACAATGCCTCATGTCTGGCTCCAAAGACCAACAATAGGCCCTCCCCTGAGCTTATGGCAGCATCTCCACGATCACTTGGCAGGAGGCAGCATAACAATAATTTGACAGGCATCCTCCCAAGGAGACTCAACACATCAGTCATGCTGCTGACACCCTCCACACCCAGAGGAGCTCATCCAGACTACAGGAGATTTCTAGGTACAGGCAACTGCTCTTGACTGACCATCCAAAAGAAAGCAAGTTTTTCCATTTCACTAACAGAAGAAGGAGGTACCTGTTTCCCGTGATGGTCCTTGCAACATTGCCGTGCCGGTTTGAGCTAAGTCTGCTTGAGTAAAGCAAAGCAGCAGTTAATCAGTAAAGAGGGCTGAAGCCTTATTTCTAGTCCAAGAAAAAAAAAATCTACTGACTGGCTTCTAAAGGGTAATAGTACTGCAAAAACATTTGCAAGTTATCTTTTTATGATGTGCAAAGAGTGTCTCTTTCCAACAAAATAATTACTCTTCAGATATTTTTCAAAAAGAAAATTGAAAAAACACAGTACTTTCAGAGGAAGCACTGTTGTGGGGTAGCACCAAAACCAACCAGCATTTACTCTCCTGAAAAACATGAATTGTCTTGATCTGACTGCTCCGACTTAATGAATTAAAATTAACTATGACCCTTGTGCCTTTAAATAGAAACTGTCATTCTCATATGGTACTGAAAAATGAGTTTGAGTCACTCCCTCCCTCCAGATATAGTGCCATGAGACAAACATCTACCAGTTAATCACCAATGTACCAATTTTTCTTCAACAACTGTTGTTTAAAGGACAAGATTAATAGCTTGAATGAAGGAAGAGAGAAATCTCCTCTTCTCTTCCTACATGAGAAAGACGAGGGTTTGCAAACTACCATGTAACACTTTTTTTTGCTTGAAGTTGCTAAATGGAAGTCCTAAGTTCTGAACAGTGACTCATTTCTGAAGTTCAGCATGCTGAAATGCTCTGACTTTTGTAGAAAATGGGGAACTGGCTTTGATTGAGGTTTCTGCCATCTTTAAAGTATGTTCAAGGTTCCTGGCAGTTTAATTGCTCTTAAAGATAATAAATCCCTTATGACACAGAAAGGCTGAACAATCATATAACTTCAGACTAGCTCACTCTGTATAGTTCCAATAATAACTTCCAGTGCAGGTGATAGCAAGCATACAATAAGCAAAGTTCCAGGAGAAAGTCTGTTGAAAAAACAGAATTATGGGAAACAGACTGAACTGCTGGTTTTATGGACATAGCTCTATTCCAGCACTCAGGCAGTAAAACTAAAATGAACTCCCTCGAAGTTAAAAATACCCAATAAAACTCAATAGGCAAGGTAATTATTTTGACTTGACAGAGGGAGAAGACAGGTCGCACATTCCCACAGAGAACATCTTACCTTGCTGACACCAAAGCGTAAGACATCTTTCAGTTTTTCCAAAGCTATGTTTTCTGTGATAGGGATTTATAACACTGGCCGAGCCTATGCCACTCTGGGCCAAATAAAACCCTAGACCAGAAGAAATGTAAGTAGCACATCCTCCAACAGCCTCTCCTGTGGTGTCACAGCTCCCCCAGGGGACCAGGTTGGCTGTCCATTTTTCATTCCCAGGACTGACCTGCCTACGTTCTACTTATTAATGCAGGTTCCTCAAGAACTCAGCTGTGAGATTTGCTGGATCAATACTTGTCTTAGGCGTACAGATACAGTGAGCCAGAATGGCACCCAAGGGATGAAGGTATCTTCTCTCTACCTTTCCCTTAGAAAAATGGAAGCGAACATCAGTCAGCAACATAAGGTGTTAGCTTTAATATTAGCGAATAAATCCATGACAGACGTATGCTTGACTGATTGAAACTTGAGATTGCATGGGTTATAAGGGTAACATATGCAACACCAGCTGATTTTGCCCTTCCTCCTGGTAAGAGCCCACATACTCTCTGTGGAAGTTATGATCTTCTATAGGTCCAATATAACACAGGTCTGTCATAAAAGCGAAACTGAAAACTTCAGCAGTAACATAAAGGAAATATTTATTGTCAAGCATTACCACTTCAAAATAAGTAAGTAAATGCCATAGTAACTAACAGAATATAGGGCAATGTCTTGTGAATTCCTCTGATTTTAGTTTCTGACATCTTCAAAAAATAAATTTTTGGTTTGGCTGACAGGAAACTACAAAGTGCAACTGTCCTGTAATTGAAGCAATCAGACATGTAAGGGGACAATAACTATAGGCAAAATAAATCAGTTGTAAACAGAACTGTTTACTGTGTTTCGAGCCACCTCATTTTATTTTTCATCATATCTGAGGGTTTAGGCTTGCCTTTTTTTTTTTTTTTTAATTCCATTAAAAGTCCCAAGATTTTTACGTCTCAGTACTGTAAGGACCAGTTTTCTAAATGTTTATTCTCTGGGCTGGCAATAGTGGTTTGTTCCACTGAGAAGATAAACAATTAACTTAAGCAAAGTTTAACATTACGGACAAATGACTTATGCTTCTAGTAATTACTCAACTTGGGAGAGTAAGTTTTTTCATGAAACAAATTATGAAATTGCTTGTTTGTTTAGTATTAGTCAAGCATACTAATATTTCAGAGTTGTGAAAATTATGTTGTTTTCTCCACCCGTAAGACATAAAGCATGAAGTTAACAGTGCAAGTACAGTTCTTAAGAAAATGAAAAAGCTCCATGTCCCTGCAAAAAACAGTCTAGTTACTTTTACCTTTTCTGAAGTTGGGAATTAATTCATTGCCTCATGAATAGCATGGCCCCTAACCCATTCTCTTGAAATTCTCAAATAGAACACATCAAAGTTCAAGGGTAAACAACAATACAAGGAAAACAATGGACATCAGCATACCTTTATAAGAGCACAAGAACACAGCGGACACCCTTAAGGTGAGCTGTTCCCATTAAGCACCCTTCTTTCAAACAAATGTTGAAAGACAGCATTAGTCCTTGACTAAAATATACTTTCTTGTGACTTCTAATGGAAATCAAAGACTAATTTATAATCACTGTGCCTTTCGCCACTGAGATGGGAATGGTACATTCAATGTGCCTTCAAATAAGTCTTTCAAATTACACTCTGACAAAATACTTCAGGCTCAATCAAGTGAATCATCTTCAAGAGTGACCTTAGCTTGGTGATACAATCAGCAATTAAAATTCTAAAGAGGGATATGCCTCCAGTAACTGTTTTTTAAGTTACATCCAAGTACCTCCCTTCATAATGTAATTTGTGTCTGTTAAAAAAATACTGAAACACAAAGCACAGGCCAGCTGTATGCCATCTGAGAATCTGCACTCGTGTAAATAATTTGGTTCTCCCCAGACAGCCAGACCAAGATAAATGGAGAAAATAGCTGTTAAGTCACATCTGATGGGAATTTTGTCTTTTTTTAGTCACCTTACACAATAAATTTATCATGTAATTCTACATTCACTTTGTCAATAGAAAGGCTACTAGAACTATTAAATCCTTGTTAAATGTAAGGTTATTTATCCCATGAAGACATAGGTAGCTGTGACAATAACATTTACTTCAAATATTGATTACATAGCCAAGGGATACACTGAAAATTATAATATACATCTGTAACTTGGAATGCTTGAGATGGTTTCCACTGAAGTCTCACTCCTGATGCTGTTCTTCAGTGATCTGATGTTGTAGCCTAGGTTTATTAGGATTGTGTTCAATCAACCAGTCAGCAAGCCATATCTGCGGAACAAAAAACCCAAACATTTTCAGTTTTCTGTTGTTTTCTATTAAGTGCATGGGAGAATATTAAAAGCATTCAGAAAAAATGGACATACAAATAACCTGGTTTTTCTAAATGTTCTGTTAAATTTTCACAGCTTATATTGCTTTTGAACAATTCACACTGACCTTTAAGAGACAACTTTTCCCAGCAATTTCTATATTTGTGTATGCATAAGAACATTTGAGCCATACTTCAAATAATCTGGTCAACTCTGTTTTGGAATGAGTCTGTACAATATGCATAAACTGCTTAATGAGATATGACTCCTGACAACACTTACAGATCCTTTATTTAGTAATCATTCATTAAAACTGCCAGTCTTCTGCACTCAAATCACCTTAAAAGTACCTAAAACTTGAAACTAAAACACGGTTACTTTTTGAAATTCATCTTGTAAGTTTTCCAGAAAATTGTACTTAAATAAGAATGTGGGAGGTAGGAATGGCTTGAGTCCCAACTTCATCTGCCAATGTCTTTGCCTGGCCTTGGGCAAATTAACCCTTTGCCTCCATTTCTCCACTTGTAAAGAGAAGTTTTTAACACATCCTTATTTACTTCACAAGGCTGTTGACCATTAGTTACTGGAATGCTAAGTACAATACACTTCATACCATAGTGTGAAGTGAAAGAAAAGATGGAATAGTAGGCCAGTAAGGTAAGCAACACTCTCCTTTTATTACCAGATACAAAAGATTGGTTTGCAAAGAAAGAGACAACATGCAGAGCAGGAAGACAATCCTTACAGTTTAGTCAGCAATAGCAGGACAGTAAGTACTCAGACAGAAGACAGAAATGGAAAACAAACAAAACAAAACCAACCAAAAAAAAACAAAACACAGAAGCCCAAAAGCCCTTAGAAAAACTACTTGGGAAAATGAGAAATTTTAAAATCATTTGAGCCTGATTAAATGTATCCTGTGTTACTTAGGGAATTAGCTGAGACCACCTCTGTGCTGCTGGTAAGTACTTCTGAGTGGACAGATAGTTTCTGATGCCATCTTCAGAAAGGAAAAAAAAAAAAAAAAACAAACACAAACCCCCCCCACTCAAATCACCCCAACTTCAGTTGTTTTGTTCCTGGAAGGACACTAGAAACAAAAAAATTTCATCAATCTCCCTGTAAGTCACCTAGCTGATAACAAACTGAAAAGCAATAGTCAATATATATTTCTGAAAAAAAGTTATATCAAATCAACATAATTTTCCTTCTGTTACAAGGGGACAGAAATTATGGACAGGGAAGAGGGAGAAAATATCATGTTTTGATTCTAGTAAAGCTACTGACACTGCTTTATATAGCTTTATAACTTTCTTACAAACAAGAAAGGAAAGCGTGGTCTTGATGACATTACTATTAGTTACCACATAACTGGCTAGAAAATTGTGCTTCAAATGCAGAGATTAATTGGAAGCAAAAACAAACAGTAAGTTAGAGAAATGTGACTTACAAGGTAACAGGAAAAAAACCCTAGTTTTTAATATAGTGATGACTGAAGTGAAAAAAAAAATGGTACTGCTCTTCAAATATGCAATAGGTTGCTGCAAAACCCCAAGATATTACATTGTCTCCAATGTCCTCTGGGGATAGTAAAAAGAAAAAGTAATGGGCTAAAAATTGGAGCACGGGAGATTTAGGCTTACTTTTAGTGAAAGCTTTTCCACTAAGTATAATTAAGCACTGAAACAGATTGCCTAGGGAGCCTGTAGATTCTCCCTCACTGGAGTGCGAAAGAACAGGCCAGACAAACATTTGTTAGGAATAGTTAGATACAATTGGTCTGGCTTTTGGGCAAAGGGATGGATGAAAAGACTTCTTCATCTGTTTCCTAGATTTCTATGGTAACAGTGCCAGACATACTGATAAAGTGAACAGGTTATAAAGCTGGAACAATCACAGTACGTTTAATCTGACCCCATGTATACCACATAGTTCATAGAAACACCCCTGCTTATTTTTCAGGCTTTTTTTCTTAAGTGTATCTTTCAGAAAAATGCAATGTTGATTAAAAACCTGATGATGATGTAGAATCCATCACAACTGTCAGTAAATTGTCACACTGATTAATGACCTGCATTCTTAAAGAAGTACTAGAGTGAATAACTTGATCTTTAAGATTATAAAAAACATTTGCCGTATTTTTCCAGATGTAAGAAAGCTCATTTTGTTTAGGGACTGAAAAAAAACCACCACCCAACAACAAAAAAAACCACAACAGGAAATTAACAATAGTCTTTCCCTGAAGAACTGTAAATTGAATGACATCTATGGTTAAAAGGAATAATATGGGACAGAAGGGCAAGATACATCAGCCTGATAACAGGAAAGTGGTCATGAGAAGACAGCAGAATTTTCTGTAGCTCAGTTTGACCATTCAAGATAGGTTTCACTCAAAAGAATCATAATTAATTTTCCTGGTGAACTGTGAAGCAACCCAAGTAAATGCTAATCAGTGCTGTATAGTCAAAATAATAGCTTATCCTAAAGAAAGATTGATAATTTAAATAAACATAACTGACAAAATATAGACAGTCTTACTAAGAACTCTACAGTATTTTACTCAACTGTGTAACTACTACTACTGTGATTCGCATCTAATCTCACTTATTATCTATTGTATAAGAGCTATTTAATCTCAAACTCACCTCAGAAACAGTAAATAAAGTAAAAATTTATCTTTGACATCAGATGACAGTACCCATTTACCTTTCCAGCCATCTGTAACAACTACCTGTTAGAAAGAGCTTTATAGAAGTCACCTAAAAAACCTGTCATTTCATCAAGGCTGATTTCACTTAGTCCTGGCCCTCATTTCATCTGTTAACAAACCAATCAGCTTCTTGAAAGGCAAATATTATTTGATTAGCTCATTAGCAGGTAGCTAAAACAGCACAGGTCTTTAACAAAAGAGTAGTTTTCCTATATACACAGACTTTACTAATACAAAGTAAATGTATCACAAAGCATACAACACAGTACTGATATACATACCATTGGATCTGCTGGCTTCTCTTTACACAGTGCAGTGAGCCCAGCTAGTAACGTTGGCTTTACATAAAGGTTCAGGTAATCCCTAGCTCTTTGTCCAGCTGGAATTGGCTCCAAGATCACTGTAAAGAGCAACCACAGGTGTTGGAAAGCAGCTTGTAGAGTGATTAAAGCCAGCATTCTTTCAAAGGTTCTTTATATATGAGCTGCTGTTTTCCTTAATAAGCTAATAATACATAATGGTGTTTATAGCTTCTCCCACAACAAACTGCAAAGAAACAACCTACACACCTTTACAATGTCCCTGAGGTGATCTTCATAATTATAGCCAATTATGAAAGGGGAGGAAATCGGATCATCTGGGGAAAACTTGTATCTTTGAAGATGCACTGGGAGCAGGAGAGAAACTATATCCTATGTTTAGAATCTCCCTCTTGCACTGTAAAAGGTGGTTTCTGAAAACCCTAAAAATCTCACCTTAAGTCCTGCTTTGTTGCTAGGGTGAGAAGAAGAGACACGGTCTACAATGGGTAAGGCTTGTAGGGAAGTGCAACATATTTTATTAAACTAACTGATACAGTTAACAAAAAAAGACTAGCTTTTTTTAGCAGTTTCCCTTGCATCTTTCTGTCAAAGAGCAAAGCCATCTTTCAACTGTTACATTACAAACAGGAGATCCTCTCCCAGTCTCTCCAGGTTCTATGGCCCATTTCTCTGGCACTTAACTTTGGAATTGCACTATCATGTGAGAATCCAGCTGCTGCTGAACAGCAATTACTCAACCTGAGCCCCAGAAGAGAGTCAGTCTTCTCAAGTCAACCAGAGTCCTTGGGGCTGACAGCACCAGAAAGACATGCTGAAGTGTAATAGCTTCCCACTTCCTCTCATTTACTAGCTTTGTCTGCTCCAATTCCCAGACCACAGAGTTTAAAAAGTAGAAGCAATCCCTGCAACTATAATGGCTCTTCAGATATATTTTGGTATGCTTTTTGTAGCAGCAAATATCAGCTTATACATAAAAAGACTCATTCTCATGAAGCAAGTAAACCTCACCTCTTCTAAATCCAATTGTATCTAGAGTCTGGACAGAGATAAGTAATAACAGGGAATGACACTATCCTCCCAAAGACTGGCAATATATTATTTGCACCATTTTACCTTCTGGAAACATGAATCGAATTTCTCTTTCTGCTGAGAAAATGTTGAGACTGCCGTGAAGTGCATTCCTCAGATCATCAGTCCCATAGATTGCTCTTAAGCTAAAAACAAGAGAAAAAAACTGCTTGGTAGACAACTGCAAATCCCTTCCAAGTCTCTACAGTCTGAGAGCATATAAAAGCAAGATATATGGACTAATTAACAAGGCATTGGCTTGATTCTGTTTTTTAAAAGAATATGTAGCTACCTAAAATTTGTGTTCATGCACTTGGCATTTTCCATAAAATGGGTGAACTTTACATACTAAAAAAAAACAAAGGTGAAAACCTACATTACACAAAAATTTAAGAGATAACAGGCTACTCCAAATCTTTATCTCTATTGTAAAACAAGACAAAAAAAAAAAAAAAAGGAGGGAAATTCTGGTCTCACTTAAGAGATAGACAAAATCCAACTGTATTCACCAAGGCCAGTCAGCGAGTTACCTGTGAGGGTGAGTTCTCCTAGCTTTTATGCTGTTTGATGGTCCAAGCAATTCCTTCCAGTAGGAGACTGCACAATGTCTGGCAAGAACCATAGCAACTAAAGGTCCAGAACTCATATAGGCTGTTAAATTAGGAAAAAAAACTTTTCCATATTGATCTGCATAAAAGTTGCTACATTGCTCTGGGCTTAACTGGAGTTTCCGTTTCTGTAAAATGAAAAAAACCTTGCTAAATTAAGATAGCTTGCTACTTCAGATAGGATACACTGCTGCAGTCCTATCTTCAAGCCCGGGAGAACAGACACAGAGTAACTTCCCAGACTAATCTGATTCTCCCAGATCTGATCCTCTTTGAGATACAGAGTAACTAAGAGCAAGAGTTTAAGAGCAAGAGTTTTCCAAAGTAATTAAGAAGACAAACAGGCCATTTGAGGAAGACAGGATTTTAGCCTATGCAAACTACAGCATTTTATAACTGCTGGATGACTTTCTGTACAGTCAGGGCACTGTACAGAAAAAGTGAAGAGCATTACAAGGGCAGGATTTAATTACTCAGCCGCTCCAGCATAATGTTCTACTTTTAAACAATTTTCTGTTCAGCCCACACCGTTAATCATGCAATTATTCTATTTTTCATTCAGTACTCATGCTTTATGACTCTCACAATAACTGCCTAGCCTGCAGGTGGCCAGGATTAGGACAAGTTTGGGAGGTTATCTGAAGGCATAGGGCAGTCAAGAAAAGAGAAGAAAACAATTCTTAAAGTGCATTCTTTGCGCTCGAACTTACAAGAGTACCACAAATTCAGATTCCTTTTAACAGTGGTGCTAAAAGTGACTAGAGAGATCAGAAGACGCTATAAACATCTTGTCATTAAAAATATAAGTAAAAAAGATCTGATTTCTCTCGTCTTCTGACAGATTTTCTATAAATAGGACAGAAAGGTAAGGGAGGAAATTAAAAAAGAACAAATGTGGAAAGAGAGCATTTACAAGAGTAAGAAATCATTCTTATATAAGAATAAATATAGAATAATAAGAAAATAATTATTTTCTTGTAATAATAAGAAAAAATAAGAAAACCATTACATTTCCAGGAAAAAACAACCAACCAACCAACTTAACACTGTACCTGGAAGCCCAGCCGCCGCTCGCTCGCTGCCACCGCGGGCGGGGCGGGGCGGGGCGGAGCGGAGCGGGAGGCAGGCGCGGGGGCACAGCGCCCCCCAGCGGCCCCGCCGCGCACCCCGGGGCCGGGCCGGTGGAACGGCGCTGCGGAGCGGGGCCCTCGGGGCGCGGAGCGGGGCGGAGCGGGGGCCCCCGGCCGCGGAGCGGGGGCCCCCGGGTGCGGAGCGGCCCCGCGCCGCACATCCCGGCCTACCCCTCGCTCCCAGCGATCCAGCGCTCCTCCCGTTTTACTTCCCAGGTTCTGACTTACCGTACTAATTTATTTATTTATTTATTTTCAAATGCTCTTATAGATCAAGTGCGTGAAGAGCACCAGAAAAAGAGGGTTGAGAGAATACATTTCTTATCAGCGAACGGCAGATTTTCTCTTAATGCAATTGCTGCTGAAAGTCACTCCAGCACCTTTCCCAGCAGCACAGGGAGGGTCTGACATGGGTGCTCAGGGCAACATTCCCACAGCCACCACATCAGCTCCAAAATGTAAAAGGACAAGCTCAGTCAGTACTACTTAAATTAAATATTTGTAGCACACTTAAATATCCATAAAGCCCATTTACATTAAAAACAGTGGAAACAAAAAATAAGCCAGACCACAACTAGCCAGCTAATTAATTCAATTAATTCTCTAAGTACCCACTTGGCAAATGCATGCTCTGTGAAACGCTGTGATATCAGAACAATACGCTCTCCAGAGAGTTACTTCAGAGAGTCCACATATCTGCTACATATGTTTGCTAAATCCAAGTTTATTAACAGTCTGTGTTTTCCTGTGGTCAGCAAAATAGTTGGTCTGTTCTGTTCCATCCCATGCACCACCAAAATGTATCCCTACAGTATCTGGCAGCAGTGGTTGATGACATATGAAAAATATAAATTGCTTTTTGGGCACACTAACTTATAGTTATGACTGCTGAAAGTTAAAACAAATATTGTTCTCCCTTATAAACTGGTTATCTTCTCTAGAGCACAGCCTCTTACCTGAACAATCAGGAATCCTGATCGGAGAATGAGATCCTCTATTTCTTCTTCTTTATCAATAATATCTGGTTTGATGAGGGCCAGAGTTCTTTCCACAAAAATCTGAGGTTTGGGCATTAACATCTGCATCTTGGCTTCTAAATTAGGAATTCACGTGCCCCTTCTGTACTGCAATGACAGCAGTTTATTATATTTGGAGTTTGTCTATGTCACAGTCACCTGCAATTACATTTACCATGCACTCTAGGAATGGAGAGGGTCACCCCCACTTCACAAAATCCACATGAAATTTTCTCTGGACTAGTACTCTGTAGTTCACACTCCCTTTTCAGTACAGTAGCATTTTCTGGAAAATAAGCCCAAAATTAAACCATAGAATTAGAATCATAGAATGGTTTGTGTTGGAAGGGACCTTAAAGACCATCTAGCTCCAATCCCCTGCCAAGGGCAGGGACACCTTCTACTAGACCAGGTTGCTCAAAGCCCCGTCCAACCTGGCCTTGAACCCTTCCAGGGAGGGGGCAGCCACAGCTTTTCTGGGTACCCTGTGCCAGCACCTCACCATCCTCACAGGAAAGATTTTCTTCCTTACATCTAATCTAAATCTGCCCTCTTTCAGTTTAAAACCATTACTCCTCATCCTATCACTGCCCTCCCTGACCAAGAGTCCCTCCCCACCTTTCCTGTCCCCCCTTTAAGCCCTGGGAGGCCCCTCGAAGGTCTCCCCAGAGCCTTCTCTTCTCCAGGCTGAACCCCCCCCAACTCTCTCAGCCCGGCCTCCCAGGGGAGCTGCTCCAGCCCCCCCAGCATCTTCGTGGCCTCCTCTGGCCCCGCTCGAGCAGCTCCGTGTCCTTCTGCTGTTGGGGGCCCCCGAGCTGGCCCCAGCACTGCAGGGGGGCCTCCCCAGAGCGGAGCAGAGGGGGAGAATCCCCTCCCTGGCCCTGCTGCCCACCCTGCTCTGGGTGCAGCCCAGGACACGGGTGGGTTCTGGGCTGTGATTGCACATTGCTGGCTCACAGGCAGTTTTCTGTCCACTAACACCCCCACGTCTTTCTCCACAGGTCTGCTCTCAATCCACTCATTGCCTGGCCTATATATTGTTAGTCAATCATAAAATCTAAACTATTCTATTTCTAATATTTCACTAATTAACTCAGAGAATGTATGAGGAACAAAAAAGAAGAATTATCATACACTTTGGTGTGTGCAAAAGCAAGCCAGGCTCACTGCACTCCCACATCCTCCATCCACCAACCATGTGTTCCATGCATGAAGATTGTGGTGTGGGACTTATTACTTGGATCTGTTCCACCTGTAAGGCTCAGGGTATTTCTCAATTGTTAGTTAATTCTTGTATTTATGGGCTCAAGATGAAGTGCGTTTTCTAACTGAGTGGATCAGGCCTTTAGCAAGCAATTAGGATACAAAATTGTTCTGTGAATAGCAGAACTAGTGCCGTTGGGTTTCCAACAGACTTTTGACCTTCCTTTTCCCCCTCTTCCCTCTGCCTCCATGCTCGCAGTTCCAGGTCTCTCTCCATCTGTAGTGGACAAGACACAGGTAGGCAACCCACTGGTCAGCTCACTGCTGTGAAAACCATATATAATTGCTACCTTCTTGGTCGGGATGATCTTTTCTGCACCTATACCTCGGAGACCCTTTGTTGGCTTTCAAATTTTGTTGAACAGGCTGCGGCCATCGTCAAGGCAGCTGACACCACGCACAGAGGAGGAAAGACGGAAAGGACCGGCCAGGGCTGCCTTTGCTTCAGAACCAGGCTGAAGATGCACACCGCCGGGGCGCTTGGAGCGGCCGGCCGGGAGCCCGAGCCCCCTATCCCGAGGAGTGCAGGATTCGGCAGAGACCCGAGGAAGCGGCTCCCTCCTCCCCACAGACCCCTTTACCCGGAGACGGGCTCAGCCTCGCCTACCCTGAGGCACTCGCCGCCACAGCGGCTGCAGCCGCTCCCCCCCAGGCCGGCCCGCCGGGCCTTTCCCGCCGGCGGCGCCATGCCACTCACCTTCCCGCTCCGCCGCCGTTGCTAGGCGACGGCGGGGCCGGCTCCCCGGGCGGGCGCCGGGCGGAGCGGCCACAAGATGGCCTCCGCGGACCTCGGCTGCGGGCTGAGCCGGGAGGGGGGAGCGAAGATGGCGGCCGGGGAGCAGCGAGGCGCTGGCAGCCAGAGCCCGCTGCCCTCGGAGAGTGCCTGAGGCAGCCGCGGTCTCCGGGCAAATATACCCCGGGAGCCACACATGCCTGTTTATGGGCACCTCACATGGTGCGGGAATGAGGCAGGAAGCAGGGTGATGTGGAGGGGAGCTATCAAAAACCTCATTTTTCTGTGACAATAAAAGCTTTATGTCGGTTTTACCTCACGCTCGGGGCTGCTGAGGAAGGCACGATCTCGCAACAGACGTTCATAACTTGAGGTAGTGGTATTTGATGGAAAAAAAAGTACACAAGCTCTTCTTCAGGTGATTTAACTAGCAGTATTTATTGTGGGAGCATGCACGAGGTTTCCTGTTTACATCTCTGATCAACATCAGCGGGATGGGGAGCTTACAGTATGCAGCCTTCCGGCATACCAGATGTACTGACCTGAATCTACTGCTAATATTGGTTTTCAGCGTTTTTTATTGAATTACAGTGTCTATCCAGTGCTACTTAACTTTTAACACAAAAACAAACATGTAATGAGTAAGAAATGGTTTTCCAAGTTAAACCAAAATGAGATGAGCCATAAACAGAAGCTGAGTTCCCTGGGGATTTTTACCAGATTCTACCACCATTGTGCCCATAACCTTGCTCCCTGCACACTCCCGATTTCCCCGGCTCTCAGGGGCCGCTCCCACTTGGAGCAATTAGAGTACAGCCATCATCGGTCCAACGTGATCTTCCATGCCGTAGCCCGGCCTCTGTTCTGGAAGCTGAAGTGTTGGGGTGCCCCGATATCGCCTCCCCGTGTACCCGGGGCAGGGCTGCGTGTTGACCCGGCATTATCGGGGTGTGGACCGGCGAGTGGTGCTGATAACTGCTGAGCTCGCTCGGCAGCCGTGCTCCTCTCCTTTGGGCCACATCCCCTCTTACTACCGATTTCTCGAAAACTGTGGGATCCGAGGCGCTGTTAAGACCTCTGGCCTGCTGGCAAATTCACCTGAAACTGGCCATTGTGTCTGAGTCCTTGAGGTGACACTGACAAAGGGACAAAGAGAAAACAATTTTTTAATGAAATCAGACTGAAAGTAGATGCCAAGGAGAAAAGACAAAAAAATCCCACTTTAAGAGCCATAGATGCTGACCCTTTGTACCCCAGTTAGCAGACGAAATAGCAAATTTACTGCAAAAGCTGGTTTTGGTGTAAGAAAAATCCACTTTGCCTTAATCTTTTTCATGAGTAATGTAAGTAATGTAAAAATAGAAATGAGAAACAAGACTATGCATTTATGTCCTTGCAGCCAGTTTGAAATATGTTTAAAAAAAATCAAAGACTGAAGTTTTTATTCACATACCTTAAAAAATAAAGGTTCCAAGTGCACAAGACTGAGTAATTCAGATACAGGCTTTCTTTCACTAATGCAGGCACATGGTGTTTGTTTCTTTAACAGAAATACCTTATCCAATATTTAATTTGAAGACATTGTAAACACTGCAAGTACACAGAGATAATGGATAAACATGTTTTATTACACAAACAAACAAACAAAAGCTGAAAGGAAGACTTCACCAGTTTTTTAGTTTAGTTCAGAGTTAATTCAGCAAGAGTCATTTCTTTTCAAAGTCAATGAGCAGAAGTCTGACAGCCCTAGTTTAGATTTAGCAGTTCAAAGGCTTTCTCAGCCTGGATTCAGAATAATTATTACATAAGAAATGTTGAATTTATTATCCATGTAAAACACTGCTAACATTAATCACTTGCAATTTCTTTATTGTGTGCAGTTTTTTTTTTTTTTTCAGCTAACCAAGTTTAAAGAGAAATGTATCTTTCTGTGCATCCTTATATGCAGCAGTTTTGTTGGAAGCAGGGTGTTGTGCACTTCACTCCCCACCACGGGCCCTCTGTCTGTGTCAGAATTTCTCCTCCTGGCTGTTTCCAGAAGCATTTCTGGAGGGTGGAGATAGTCTAATTTTAGTACCTCGGAGAATCCTCCTCTCTCCAATGAGCAGGCAGCTGCATCTGGAGCTGCAGCCAATTACCCTGGTTTTCTTCCTGCTACGCTTCCCACGGTGGTTTAATAATGCAGACTTACAAATTTAAAGTGGCCTCACATATTAAGAGAAAATAACACCATGTGTTCCCCAACAAAGACATATATTTTCACAGTAGTAGAATCTCAAAGATTTCTTCTAAAGCCTTGGATTCTAGAAACCTGACCTTACAACCCTGTGTTAATATCATTATCTTATGTATATTATCTTTATAGTGCTTGAATAAATATTTCTGATAACAAAAAGGCTGAGGTATCTTCCCTAACTTCTGTAGGGCAGGGATGTGACTTTAAGAAAGGAAACAAACAAAAGTAAAATTCTGATTACAATGTAATGAACTGTTACAGTTCTGAATTCTTCTCTGGGCATAGTTTTGCTGCTGTATCTTATCTGTTAAGCGGTTTAACAAGCCTTAGGTGTCTCACTTATTTTTAGCTGGCATGGACTATAACAACACTGGAAGATTGTGGCTGCAGGTGCATTTGCATTCTAGTAACAACAGATAAGTAACTTTTTAAGGAAAAATTATTTCAGAGCTTTGTACTCCAATACTTTAAGGTAGAGAAACCAGTTAAAAAAGAGCGACTGTTTAAAAAAAAAGGAAAACAGAACTATGAAAATAACAAAGTGAAGAAAAGCTAAAGAAATAATATCAACTAGTTGCATTGATTAAAAATGAAGTTTGTACATCTTTTGGCTTTATTTTCATTTTGATGTTAAATACAGAAAAAATTGCTTTAGTAGTAATTTACTAGCCATACATTTACCACACATACAACTTTCATCCACCACAGACATTTGTTTGCTTCTGTCTCTCATAATAAACTGTCATACCCTCTCACAGTACCAGCTTACCTTCAGCACTTTCTTCATCCATGTTTGCTTTTGCAGTGCAAAGTGTCTCTGACGGAAATCCTGTGATCAGGCTAACTTCCTTCCCTGCAAGCCCGCTCTTGCCTCCATTTCTGCCTTCTTACAGCTAAACAATTCTACTTCTGCTGCTTATCTGCACTCCTGTAATCCTACCTAGCTTTTCATTGCTGCTGACTAACCCTTGTCAAGCCTTCCTTTTTGCTTTCCTCTGCTTGCTATCTCACCATTTTCCCTAAAGATAAAATTAACAAAATATTCTCTTGATGCTTCTCCTTTCTACAAGTCTCTAAGTGGCAATAACAAAAATCTTATCTACGGTCTTCTGTAACTCCATCACTTGCCCTCTTAACCTCACCCTATTTCATTTCCTGATCTTCTTCACACCCAGCCTTTCATTTGTTCACAGCTTTAGTCATTCAGTCTGCTCTGTCCTCCAGCACCCACACAGAGATGCTTATGCCTTTTACATTAAAAAAAGCAAACCAAACCAAAACCAAACAACAAAACAGCCTCTGGTAGAAGTGCCTCTTTTCAATTTTACAAGTCCTAATCGCATCTCTTGTCTGGTTCGACCTTAAAGCCCCTTCAAACCTGGTTTTGCTTCCTCTTGTCCTCTGAAAGCTTCTCAGCCTATCTTAAACCAACCTCTTCTTTGGCCTTCAGTCACATTTAGCATACCCAGACAGTGTCCTAGCTTAGCTTTGGCAATTATTCTCACCTATTGCTGCTTCTCTGGTCGCTGTTTTGGCTTGGCCTGTCAGTACCGTACCTGGCGTATCTTTCCCTTTTCTTCAAGAGCACTGGTGAGCGCTGGTCTTGACTCTCCTCCCTTCCCTTCTAGCTCACAGCTCAACATCCTAATGGTCAAAAAATGTAATTGCCTCTCATAACTGTCTCCTTTTAAACTTTAGGTGTCTCCATCACAATTTAAAGTTTTGGTAATAAGTGTGTTAGACAAACCATCTGCCTGAAAGCCAACCGTTTTTCTCCTGTGTTATTTTACAGCCAACTGTGCAAAGGAGTGGGTGGAACCTCACAGCCAGAAACGTTGAGTTTGGGCTCAGATTGGTCTAAACTGCTGTGGAGATGTCAACTGAGACACAATCTTTCTTATTTATGGACGTGGCTGGAAATTCAGCTCAAGCTCTCCTCACCTCAGTCATTATTTATAGCCTTTTCTCTGGCTTCAACAAATAAATCATCCACTTCCATTCAGAAAGCTCCGCAACATCATTTTCTTAGTTCTTCAGTTTAACTATATGAGTTCTCCACATCTTTCCAAAGAGTTTTCTTTATCATACATGAACCCATGACTCTTCAACTGCAAGCTCTTTCGCACACTGATCTGGTCCTGCGTACCTTTTGTCTGACACTGAAAGGGTATCTCCTATTTCCTGCCAGCCAGTACAACTCAATTCCACTACTGCCCTTTCAAATAAAAGACCTTCCTGCTATATCCCATGTTGTCACTCAGGATGAGCTCCTGTTGAACACCTGTACAGGTTGGCATTGACAATCTATTTTCTATAAAGCTCCTCATCATCTATATATAGACATGGTGTATAGATACTGCAGATAGATGTAAGGCTTTTACCCAACATTTTGGAGCAGAAACACTTGCACACGTTTGCTCTTTCATTGTTCTACATAATGTTTAACATAATACTGGCTTGGATTATCCCTGAGGCCACTAAGCTCAGAGATAAGTATTCAGTGTGATACTATCCACAATGAATAAATGAATGTATGAATAAACCAATAAAAATCTTTTATTTGGCAAATTACAAGCGGCAATCAGTTAAATAAGGCGCTTTTTTTTCCTGAAGTTTTTGTCAATGCTTTCTTAAGTGCATCTTCACATCATCTTAATTCCCTGTAGCATAAGGCATTCTTTTTGTCATTATTATTTTCAGCACTTACTTTCAGCCATACCATCAAAATCAGTGGGATTACTTGCATAATTATTAAATTTATTTATACTGTGCATAAAGACTAACTCAGATGCTTCATCAACAATTTCAAGGCAGTGAATGATAGGTTAGATCTCTCTTTTTTTAGAAGAGGGAAACTAGAAAAATCAACACAATGGAAATAACGAGGAAATAGGATAATGAAGAAAGGGAACGAGGCAATGAGGACAGGTATGGCACAAAACTGGTATGAAGAGACAGCAAGTTTGATAGAACAGAAAAATTAGGCTCACGATCAGAAAGCCCATACACAAGTGAAAGTCAATTAAATTTCAGTCAACACTATGAATAATCGTAGTAATTACAGGATTTAAAAAATGGCAAACAGAATTACAGTTTTTTCATCAGTAAATATGTCATATAAGGTGAATTACCACCCAAGAAGATATGTGTGTATTTTTCTTTGATTAACCACAGGCTTTGAGTGGGGAGTGAAATGCAAGACCAAAACCCAAGTCACAACCCAGAGGAATTCTTTAAAATTACCTGTGGCATGATGGGGCCTGGTGAAACAAAAAATCACAGCAATGCATATTGTCAAGTTTCTTGGTCTTCGATATCTAGATATGGAAAGAGTGACTTTGTTAGTCATGGCAGTGACAGTTTTCAAACCAGGCTGCCCGGCCACTCTACAACCACATTGTTATCCTGCTGTTGGATATAGGACATACAGGGCATCAAGCAGCGATTAAAATGGGGCAGCTGGGAATCACAGTGAGCCTTAGCAGTTGGGAACTGCTGTTTGGAATTGCCAAAATGAGAGATTGAGCCAAACCTGTCCAGAAATGGAAAAGAGTACAGCTTTAAAGAGAGCACTGTTAAGCAGGTAAAGGATAACAGGTGCCAAAGTACCAATGCAAGGGCTTGGGAAAGGAAAGATATGACATGTTCAGTAAAGCAAGAAATAGAACTGGTAAAGAAAAAAAAGGGGAAACATATGGAGAAATCCAAATGAAATTACAATCATTCAAGTCATTAGCAAGGCTTGATGAAATACAAAGGAGCTGTTTGGGGCAGCGAATCTTGCAAGAAAATTAAGTAATGTATCATCAAAAGCACTCAGGTTACCTCCATCAGCTGAGCCTAAATTACATGACAGACTCATATAAACTGCTGCCAATTTCAGTTTACTTCCAGGTGCTGGTCTGTAAACTTGGAACTGCAGCGCAGCTGTAATTCTGCAGTCAGCTGACACAGCTGCATACATAAAAACCTGCAAAAAGAAGGCAGATGGGGCATGAGGGTGGTAGCATTTACCCCTCCAGCTACCCCAGGGAGAGCAACCTGTAAACATCAGTTTGACTTTAGTCCCCTGTAGTGACTTAAGCAAGTATATGGTATTTTCCAACTGAAGCAGGCTACCAGCATGGTATAAACAAAAGCAGTTGGCTGGCAGACAGTGGCTTAGTTGTTTTTAATCACAAACCATACCTTTTGGTACAGACCTGATTGATAGGTTTACAATCTAAGCCAAAGCTGCCTAAAAAAAATCCAAAGAAATTCTCTTGCTGCATGTGGGGTAAGTTCCTCTGAGATGGTGTAAATTAGGATACTTTATGAAAAATTTATTCGCTTCTCATATTTTCTTTAAAGTTTAATACAACAAACACAGGTTTAAAAATGTATTCTCATAAAGATGTGTATCTTTATCAGATAATGTATACAACCTGTCCTGCAGACGTTACCATTTTCAAGTGTGCTGGTTAGGTACTCTTTGTACTGTCTTTACTAGACCTGACCTCATGTAACATTGTTTCACAAACTTTAGCCTAAAGAGCTGGCTGCAGAGCTTGTCCATAGTGTACCCTACTCTGTCAGCAGACTAGGTTTAGATAAGTATCTCTAAAGTTCTGAGCTATTGCAGCTTGGGCTGAAAGTGTGGCAGAATACTTAGAAACTAATATCCTTCATGGATAGAGTACCTGGCTGACAAATCATACATCTTAGACTATGCTCATGTATTCTTGAAATTACTCCTGTTAGGGACATTTTCAGATTGCTTTAATATTTTTCAATTTGTAAGCAGTGACAACGTGAGGCGTGGTGGGAGATTTACAGAAGCAAGTAGCCACCATGGCTGAGGATTTAAAATCCATAAATTATAAGAAAATCAGTTGCAAATATGATGCAGTCTTGCTGCATGTGTGTGTGGGTATCAAAGCAGAAAGCTGAGCTTGGACCAGTTAAAGTGATGCTCGTGGCAAGTACCACAAAGAGCAAAGCAAAAGAGCGGCTTGAAATTTTTGGCTTATTTTTCATACATACTCCCAGTACTAAGAACGTTTTTTTTTTCTTCCTTCCTTTTCCCCTTAAGAGGTCTGGTTTATAGTCTGAAACAGTGGAATGTTTTTATTGAGGAAAACAAAAAGAGGTGCATCAGGCCCTTACCCTCATCATACCATGTTGATTTTATTTTGTGCTCATCTTTAATGCTCTGCTTGTTATACTACCACAAAGCTTACAAAACCAAACCTAATGGCCTGTATTACCAAGTTCCTACTTCAGAAAATGAATCCTGTAGAGGATAAAAAGTGCTCTAAAAGCAGTTCACTGAAGGACAGCCTGGATCCTAGACCAGATTACTTAACAACAAGATGTATCACCACATTTTATTTTTATTTGCAAGTAGCTATGTGTGCTCTTTCTGAATTGTAATAGCAGATGAAAATATGCAAGTTGAGTCAGAGAAGATATTTGACAGAGGGTGAAGCAAACAAGGAATAAGGTATGCATTCATTACTACAGAAAGTTAAGTAATAATTGTTACTTTTTGCCCACAAGCAAAGGGCTTACCTTTTTATTTAAAAAAAAAAATGTGGCAGTAAGGTCTGTTTGTCTATCCAAAAGCAGAAGTCTGTCCCTTTGACATGGACAAATGGGATATTAGGAATGGTATACGGTACAAGAATTTGAAGTATGATTACAAGGAGCAGTTCTCTTCTGCACTTTTCACACACAACTTTATCTACAAGGTTGATATATCCTCGGGCAAAAAGAATTAAGGCCTAGGCACATGCCCAGGGCTCCTGCTCCCAGAGTTATGTAATATCCAAATCTAAGTTTCCATTAAAAACAACAAATTCTGGCCCTCTCGGTTGCAAAACCAGCAGAGCTGGAAACATTAAGTAAACCTCTGGTGCTGGAGTAACTGACTCAGTGTACATACCACACCTTAAATTAAGCCACTGCAACACTGTTAAGTAAATACTGCGCTCAAGTCAAAAGTGTGTTTCCGTAACTTTACCGTGAGGGACCGGAGGGCCCAGGCTGCCTCAGCAGGGCTCCGGCCTGCCCGGGGTGGCGGGAAGGGCTGTTCGCCGCGGTAACCACGGCAGAGCGTTGAGGGGAGCGCCGACCCCGACTCCCCCGCCCTGCACCCTCAGAGGTTGGGTTTCCTCCCGGTCACGCTTGTGATTTTTCGCGAGGCGCTTCAGGGAGGACGGTAAATATTCGGCGGGACGACGAGGCGGCCGCCAGAGCGGGCCCTCCCCCGCCCGCCACACGGCGGGACGACGCACCGCACCCCGCGGGAGGGCTACACTCCCCGGGCTGCCCTGGCGACAACACGGCGGTGACCGCCCTGCCTGCCTGCCTTCCTCCTTTCCCCTCCCCGGGCAGGCGGGCCGGAGCCACCCCACAACAGCGAGAGCCGCCATGCCTCCGCTAGCCTCGCCTTCCCTCCCAGTCCAGTCCCGCGGGCCGCCATTCGCCTCACCCCGCCCGCCCCTCTCGCGGACAGGACCAACTGGAAGCGCTGCACGGCGTGAGCGACAGTCAACGGTGGCCAACCGCGAAGCGCCTTATTGCTGTGTGGCTGAGGCTCCGGCGGTATAAAAGCGGCCACGCGTTAAGGCTCCGGGCCGGAGAGTACGTGTCTGAGGGGGAGGAGAAGGTGGCGGCGGGGCCGGTGCGGAGCAGCCGAGCGCCGCGGGGAGGGGTGTCCGCTCCAGCGCGTCAGGGTTTTTAATCCGATTCCGGCCGGTCCGGATTTTATTGGGAGCGGGTTTTAAAGTGAGTATGAGCGGGATGGCGACGGCGGAAAAGGGGGGGGGGGGGGGGGGGGAAGACGGGACGGGGGCGGGGAGGAGGGGCGGGACCGGACCGGATCAGACCGGCCCGGTGTGTAGGGGGGGGGGAGGGGGGCGGCCGGCCGCGGGAAGAGCCGCCTCTCTGACCCGCGGGCCGCGCTCGTTTCTTGCAGGCGCCTGTCGTCCCTCTCGCCTCAGAGGACGGGGCAGCATGTCCGAAGCGGAGCAGCAGTTGGCGGCCGCCGCCGGCGCCACCCAGAACGGGCACGAAGCGGCCGAAAGCGCCGGAGAACAGCAGGCCGAAACCGGCGGGGCTCCGGCGGCGGCGGGCGCAGCGGCAGCGGCGGCGGCGGCGACGGCGGGAACGGCAGCGGGAGCTGGACCGGCGGCGGGAACAGCGGGGACGGCCGCCAGCCAGAACGGAGCCGAAGGCGACCAGATCAACGCCAGCAAGAACGAGGAGGACGCGGGGTAAGGCCCGCGCTTCCCCCGGCGAGTTGAGGCGGGAGCAGGCCGCGGCCCCCCCCCCCTCGCCCCGCTCCCTCTCCTTTTTCCCCACAGCCCCGGGCGCCATGTGCGGCGGAGCCCCGGCCTCTAGGCCCCGGCGCGGCCCTAGGGCGGCAGCGGAAGCGAAGCGGGCGGCTGGCGGGCTCCGCCGCCCCGGGCTCCGCTCCGCCCGGCGGGGGAGGGTGGCGGGCGGCCCCGCTGCGGAGGGATCGGGCGGGCGGTGAGCCGGCGGCCCTGCAGCACCAGCGCTTCCTTTGTTCTGGAGCTGCCTTTTGTTGGCGCCATGTGGTGGCTGGGGGGGGGGAGGGGCGGGGAAGCGGGTTTGTTGCCGTCTCACGCTGTAAAATGGAAGGGGATTTACCTCGACTCGCTTCGCAGCCCGCGTTTTCCTCATCCTTTCCCTTTTTAACGAAAGGAGGAGATGAAAGGAGTTGCCTTCTGTCGGGGGGTGGGCTGATTCAAACTTTCTGTGGAATTGCGTTGACCGATCGCCACCGGCGTCGGTGTAAATGCGAACATGTTTTGTGTAACGCATGTGAAAAAATAATCCGGGCTTTGGGAGCTAGTCGGGGTAAACGAAGTATTTTTCGAGGAAGTACAGGAAAAACAGCGCGATTGAGATGATGTACAGTGTGTTTAGACTAGTAAGAGTGGTTTTGGTGTACTCCTTTGCAGCATTGTCAGAAAACGGCTTGTCTCTTGCGAGCGATTTCTGGAGGCATCAGTGTAGTTTCGCTGTATTTTGGTAGTGGCATTCTTGTATACAAAAGAGTAATTGCTTCCCTATCCTGGTTGGTCTGTGAATATACATGCTTGACTTGAAAATTACCTGCTTGTTTCTCAAGTGGGTCTTTGTGATGCAAGCTACCACATATATTTAATTGGAATTCCCTTTGTTATCCTTGGGCCTTGAACCAGAGGGTCTGTTCCCTGGGGTTGAACAGAGAGCTGAAGGCACGGTAGTGTAATAGATTTTGGCTTTAAGGAAAGGAGTAAGAGTTACACAAGTTTCCTATAAGCTAGGGCTTAGATGAACCTTCTGCAGACACTAGGATTGAGAATCAGGCCTTTTAGATATGTGCGAGTTTCTTTTTACTTTTTTAGTGTTCTGCCCTGAAAAGTGGGTGATACTCTTTCCCTTTCTTGCACAGGAGGTGACAAGTTTCAACCCCAAATCTGTGTGAAATGAAACTTCTAAGAAAAGCAGTTACTTGGAGGGATTGACCTCTGTGGAAAATATATCTCTGTGCTGAAATGAGAGCTGTCCAAGGAGAGTTCAGGGTGCTGACATTAAAGTATTTTGTTAAAAGCTGAAACACACTTTGATTTAGTGGCACTAATACCTTTAGGAGAGGAGAAAAAAAAAAAAGACTACATGTTAAGAGTGCAGTTGTCTAGTGTTTTTGGCTTCTGAAGGCAAAGTCAAATGCTAGGAATTTGGTCCTAATTTCAAAGGCTCTAGGTTGTGTTACTTATAAATAGGTATCAATCATTCAAATTATAAGACAAAGGGCTGTAAATTACAAAGTGTAGTATCTGCTGCTGTGGTAAGAGATGAATTTAGCATGTGGCAATATCTTGTGTGAATACAACAGCCCCATCCCGATGGCATACAGCAGCTAAAGCTGCCTCCAGACAAATTCCTGTCATCCCCTAATCACTGAATTTATCTTGATCATTCTGTAAGTGTAGCCAATGATGACAGGGTATATACTATGGAAAACCAGTGTCGGTCTGTACAAATCATAGCCATCATGCTTGGTCAGTAAGCTGTTGTGATGAGGAGGAGGCCATCCGGTTACCTTTCTTTCTCCTGTTATTGAAAGGCTTAGGAAACTTTTTAAGGCTCTATTGTAATGGCTGCAAGAAGCACATAGACTTTACTTGGACTTTGTGTATTGTGCTGCACTTGTCAGTTAAGAGTGCACAGCTTGATCTTCTGAAAAAATGAGGGTTTAACCTACAAAAGATGTAGTTTCATCCAGTTTAAGGAAAAAAAAAAAAAAAACACCTACAGTTTCTTTTTTCTGATGTTGCCTTTTGAACATGAATAGATACTAGTTTTAGCAAAAAAGTCAAAGTTACACCTAAACACCAAAAGCCAATTTTATTTAAACATAGTCTAGTTTCTGAAGTGCTGCTAGCTTATAGTGCCAAATCTAGGTTGCCTCTAAACAGAGTAATGACAACTTAAACTGCTTTAGTCTATAGTTAGATAAAAAGGCTCAAATGCTTTTAAAAGCTTAGTTTGTTACCTTGGAAACTATGAAAATAGAAAATACAGCTATGTTATTAGTGTTTTCATTTGGAGTGACGCATTTGAAAAGTGCCTTATTGACTGATCTAAGTTTTGTTAGCTTCACTTCTGTATTGTGCTTCACTAGTATTTAGCTCTTTGAGATGCTCCAGAGGATATTCTGTCAGAGAAAATGGGCAGGGAAGTACTGTATTGGCCTTTCATAAAAGTAAAGTGTAGTGGTGGAGATACTGCTATAGTACTGCTGAAGATAGAACAAGATGTAGTAACTAAGCAGGAGGAAGTGCACAACATAGTAGTTAAGGCAGGTCCAAAGTCCCGCCTGTTCTTGGAGGTTGTAGATACCTGGTTTAAATTTTGTAAATCGTTCTTAGGACTAAAATTTTTGTACCCATTTGTCCAAGTCCTGAAAGAGCTCAAGTATTTCGTTTTTGATGCCTTACTCTATCCTGAATGCTTTCAAAGCAGTAGGAATGATGCTAGCTTCTCTCTAAAAATGGAGTTGGCAGTACTTGATAATCAATACTGCTTGGTTGCAAATAACAGAATACTGTTAAAAGAACATAAGTTACCGGTGAGGAGTGTTTCAGGCAATTTTTACTGTTTCTGTAGCCTGTAATAAAACTCCAAGGTGCATTGTGTCATTCCTTAAAAAAGGGGAGAAACCCACCCTTGTGCACTCCTGTAGTATCACTAGCTTTTGACAAGATGTAAAAGTGTTTAACTTGGAACAGTTGGTCCTGTTTCTGACAATGCTGCTGAGGTGTATACCACTCTAAGCATCTTGCTGCATGTGCTTTTCTGTAGTATTTCCTGAATCTTAATAGCTCTTATCTCTCTGAAATTTCAGGAAGATGTTCGTTGGTGGCCTCAGCTGGGATACAAGCAAAAAAGACTTGAAAGATTACTTCACCAAATTTGGTGAGGTAACTGACTGTACGATAAAGATGGACCCTAACACAGGAAGATCCAGAGGCTTTGGATTTATTCTCTTCAAAGAACCTGGGAGTGTTGAAAAGGTGAATTGAAGATTCATATTTCAGATTCTTAACTTCCAGGGGAAACTTTGCAGATTGAGTTAATCATATTAAACTATCTTTCAGGTTCTGGAACAGAAAGAACACAGGCTAGATGGACGACTAATTGACCCCAAGAAGGCCATGGCAATGAAAAAGGATCCAGTGAAGAAAATATTTGTTGGTGGACTAAACCCAGAAGCCACAGAAGAGAAAATCAGGGAATACTTTGGAGAGTTTGGAGAGGTATGTAATGTTATCTTAGTAAACACTGAAACACATAGTCTCCAGTTGCTCTTTAGTTTACTAGCAATTTGCAAGTTGCAAATTAAATTGAGTTCAGATGTGTCCAGCCTTCTCTAACTGATCCAGAGGTTTCCCATCTCAAGAGCAAGGAATGCACATACTGCACTAGATGCTTCAATTGCTAGTTAGATATCCTTATCTTTAACTCAAAACGTCTTGTCTTATGTTAAAATTGTTTTTAAGAGTTGTAAAACTGAAACCTCTGGTCTGAGATCCAATGTTAGTATAGGAAAAATACTGCAACTTTGGTGTTGCATAATACACATAGTTTTACTGTCCCAGATGTTATGCACTTAACTGATCGCCTAAAATACAAGTCTGAAAATAGTATTTCATGTTTAGATTGAAGCAATTGAACTTCCAATGGATCCGAAGACCAACAAAAGGAGGGGGTTTGTGTTCATCACTTTCAAGGAAGAGGATCCAGTGAAGAAGGTTTTGGAGAAGAAATTCCATAACGTCAGTGGAAGCAAGGTAGAAACTCTGACTTGTAATTTTTTTATCCAAGTTACTTAGCATAATCCCCCTACATCTGTAATCTGAAAAGGATTTTGTAGACCTCTGATCTCAAGGTACTACAATTTCAATAAGGACAGCTTGCAGTTTACTACAGGGGTCTTTTGCCATAAGTTCAGGCACAGAGGCTACTAAGCTTCTTTGCCAATATTTGCAGTTTTAGTAGTTGCTATGTTCTAGGGGCCTTTGTATGTAAAGTATCAAATTGCATTCATAAAATACATGTGGGAAAAGTGGCTTATTTATGTATTGGTCTAGAAATATAAGCCCTTTCATCAGATACATAACTATTTTCAGCATACAGCACTTGCATAAATTCAAGGCTTACAGACACTAACTTTGTAAGCAGCTGGCTGAAACTGGCTCGCTCTGACATGGGGGCAGCTTCTGATGTCTTCTCTGAGGCCTGCCCTGCAGCCCCTCCTGCTACCAGAACCTTGTCATGTAAACCCAAGACCAGGATCCAGAGAGTAAATGTATGCTTATGGCAACTTGTACCTGGTCAGCTGAACTACTATGAAAGTGGTGTGAGATGCTCTGAACACCTGACTGCTCATCTGTGGGAATGGCTAATAAAGGCTCATATGTCAAGTTGATGAGAAAAGAGGACTTGGAGGCAAATGGTGTGTGCTGGCTGGAGGTGTCCCTCTTTCCTTGCTCCATGTTCAGTGCTGACCGTACACTAACTTCAAAGCCCTGTTAGATCTGGTCATACTATCTGACACAGTGACTTGGATTGCATTGAGTCAGACTGGTCTTGACACACCACAGAATAAACTTTGGCAAACCTAATGCACTGGTAGCTGTCAAGACACTAGTTAGCAACAAAGTTTGTTTTCAGAAGAGATGAATGCTTACATGCCAAGGGAGCTGAGAAATCATATCTGTATCTCATAACTATGGCTTTTTTTTTCATCATAGTAATAATAAAAAGAGCAAGGTTACCTTAAGGCTCCTGTGGTGAAGAATTCCAAGCCAGGCTTGCTCAGGTGCTGCTATCACAGGAAGTTGTTCCATTCCACAGCAGCAGTAGCTTTCATCTTGGACTGTGCAAATTCAGGAACTAGGAAGCTGGCTGGCAGCTTGAACTGCAGCTTGGAAACCTGTCTTGGAAATGCCAATTCTGGTAGCTCTTAACTGTTCTTAATATTTGATAAGTGATGATTTCAAGTGTTTTTAGGTGCACTGTACAGTCCCAACACAGATGCTCAGTGTATAGGGTATATGAAGGCTGCCAGGAAAACTTGTTCCGGTGCATTTCTCAGACCCGTGGACCACGTCACCCAAGCTGCACGGAATGAACAGCAACAGCCTCATCTTGGGAGGTTGTGCCAGGATAGAGCGCAGCATTGGGGCTCCTACAGGAGCAGTGGCTGTGCTGAGGTGGCCTCAGCACCTCTTCCATGGGCGAGTTGCTAGAGAATAGGCAGTATTAAAATACTCTGAGAGCAGTGGCCTACTTTGAATGGCCAATAATGACTAACCTTTGTCTTCCATGGGGAAGTTGGTAGGGAATAAATGGTCTAAAACACTCAGCAGTGGCCTGCTTTGAATGTCTTGACAGCTACTTATGTTTGTCCAGATGGCGCAGTAAGTCAAATGCGTCTGGATATGCATTAGTCCTGCTTACATGATGGGGAGCACAGCATGTATACCTCCTTTGCCTCCAGAGTAACCTCTGGCTTTCCTAGGTGGTTAGCTTGGGTGCTGCTGCTATGAGACAGTATACACACTCTTCCTTGTTCTTTATTTCCAGTGCGAGATTAAGGTAGCACAGCCAAAAGAAGTATACCAGCAGCAACAGTTCAGTAGTGGTGGAGGAAGAGGTAGCTATGGAGGAAGAGGCAGAGGTGGAAGAGGCGGCGGTAAGTACTACACGCACTACTTTAGTATGGACACATTCTAAATAAGTTGTGTGTACTAAAATGGGATTTTGTGGATGGTTTTCCCTTCTATAGCTCAAAGTCAAAATTGGAATCAAGGTTATGGCAATTACTGGAACCAGGGTTATGGGAATCAAGGATACGGCTATCAGCAAGGTTATGGTGGCTATGGAGGCTATGATTATTCAGGATATGGGTATTATGGATATGGACCAGGCTATGATTACAGTAAGTAAAGAGAACTGTATTGGGTATAAGCAAGCGTAACTAATTAGCAGTTTAATGCATTTGTTCTCTTGTTCATAGGTCAAGGCAGTGCAAATTATGGGAAGACACCAAGACGTGGTGGTCATCAGAATAACTACAAGCCATATTGATCAAACTTATTCAGGTATGCAGTGGCATGGTCTCTTTTGGAAAATGACTGCATAGGTTTTGTATACAATGCTGTAGATGGATATTTCAGTTCTGTACCAAATTTAACTTTACAATAAATTTCTATGGCCTGTTAAATGTGCATCTTACTTGGAAGAGCTCCCTGGAAATGTTTTACATGTTTAATACTTACAGATAACTAGTTGTTTAGACAGTGTGGTGTGTAAATTTCAGCCTTGCTGAAGATATTAATTAATGATTTTATTAATAGGTTAAACTGAAACTGATTTTGAGGGTCTGCTTAAAGCTGCAGCTCTGCATCTAGGGACTGCCTCTTGGAGTTAACTATGGACTCTGCATTACTCCAGTTGTACAGAATGAGATGCATCTTAGGGAACCAGTGTCACTTTCCACCTTTTTATTTTGTATTGTTTTTGTGTCATACATTTCCTGTAATGGAAGTGTTAATTTTACTGTACTTTTTGGTACCTTTTTGGAATCTAATGTATTGTAAGGTATTTTACATGTGTTCTGATTCACCATGACATGGATATTGAAGCTATCCTAGCTTTTGAAATAAAAAAGGCGTAATCTAGTGTCTTGTGCCATTCTTCAGCTTATGTATTAGTAAAATGCCAGTATACTGTTCCCAGAACTTAGTTAATGGCAGTACCTTCTTGATAGATGAAGAGGTGTGCTTAAATGTTTTTAATCTTAAAAGTAGAAGGCTGTACTGGTAGCTGTGCTCACTTGCAGTTAAGTGGCAGCTAAAAACGGCAGTCACTTCTGCCTGGAGGTTGTGGAAGAGAACTCAGGTGGAAAGTCCCAGCTGTTGTGGCGGCTGCGCTGGTGGCTCGTGTTCTAGATAAGCACAGGGGCTCAGCATAACTGTGTTAGTGTCTGTTGGAGGGCTCTGCTAGGATGGAGCCGGAGGCATAGGTTTCGGGTACGGCTTGAGAGGCCTAGAGAGAGTTGCAGGAAGAGGCTAAGAGGTATGTAGGAAGCTAGCTGCCCTTCCTTCATGTTTCAGTTTTGAGTCTGAGACTTTTCTGCAAGTTCTTAATAGTATGTATACATGCCTTGAAAGACAGGTTAGACAGACATTAAATTACCAATGCAAAGTCTGAATTTATGCAGCCTTTTTGTGTATCAGAAAAGGCTAAAAGAACTTCCACTGAGGTTGAGTGGAAAAACAAATCATCTCTTTCTCTAGAGATGAGTGACCAGCTAGAAATATGTTCCACTTTTTGGACTAGTTTACTGCTATTTTAAGGCAATAACTATCGTGTGATTTGCCTGTCTTGCTGCAGAATAGTCCCAAGCTTAGATTTATAAATGAGTAGCAAGTGCTGCTGCACATAGTAAACTTGCAATCTTTATTGCAGTAATCAATTCTATTTTTACTTTCCTTCTAAAGCTAAAATCTGGCACTTTTTTTCTGTAATAAATTCTCTTTGAACAAATGGGAACCAGAAGTGGAATCAAACCAAGTAACTAAGACCTAAACAGATGTTACTAGTGACCTTTTCATTTTTTTAACAAGGAATGCAGCTATTCCTGCAGGGACTGTAATATGCTGCTCCCTGCTGGCAGTCCTTGAAAACAAAAACTTGCTGTAAAGTTAGAAGTCTTAAGATTTCTTTCTAGGGTTAAGTGGAAATCTAGAGTATAAAAAAGATGAATCAGATTTTAAATCTGATGGTTGACATGACAACTTTACAGCTGGAGAAAGTAACCTAATGCCCAACTTAATTGCAAATAAAAAAATTGCAGACCACTGAAACAAATGAGCACAGTATTTTAAAGTACTGCTGTCTCAAGATTTAAAATTGAAATGCTTTACTCTATTGCATACTTTTACTTGTTTTGTTATGAAATACGCAGTAGTGGAATATTTTCCTAGCAAACAGTTTGCCCTCCAACAGGGAATTTGCATAGTATCAGGCTCATAATGCTGCAGTACTTCTAGCAAGTATATTAGTAATAGTTTGTTAGCTGGCTGTTCCTTTGGGGTTTTTTTGGAAGTAGGTACTTGGGTAATGCTTCCTTGACAGGTGATGTGGCCTTAAGCAGAAATTTAGGATACTGGTAATTAAATGCAGAGCTGACTTTCCTTTTCTTCTTTGCGTGAAAAGTTTGTGATACAAGGAACTTGTACTTGCCTGGTGAAAGCAAGGGCTTGTACACAAGGTTGTTGCTTATGGCTGTAATGGACTCTTACTAATTTACTAATCCTACTTGGGTATTTCTTGAGGACAGAATATTTCTTAAGAACTGGTTTGGAGCCATAGCCCTTAGCTGTCTGTTCCTCATGCATTTGATGTTAAGAGTTTAGTACTGGAGTTTTTGACTTAATCTTTGTTAGAGAGAGTGCTACTAGGGACCTTGTTATGAAACTGGCTACTGAAAGTGGTCATAGGAGCCTGGGATGGACTGGGTGTACTGGCAGCTAGAATGGCATTTGCATTGGTAGCAGTAGATTTAAAAAAAATGAGAACCCATTGGCTCATCTTAATTTGTAAAAGTCAAGCTGAAAGAGCATGAATCTAGAAAATGTAGTTTATAGTAGCTATTAGGAGCACATTCCTTTATAATCAGTTTTACATATGCTGTTTTAAATAAAAGCTAATTCCACACTTCTGCCAGAGTTGAAATAAGCTCTTGTAAAATTTATTTCTCCTAAAGCTTGTACTAATAACAAGATAACTGAAAATAAGAAAATCAAGGGTAACTTATCTCATCTAAGACATGCTAGGATGAAGATTAAATGTGCATTATTATAGTAGAATGATGTTTCTTAGTAGTAGATCTTGAACACTGTTTGAAACCTATGGAAAGAAAATAATGTTACTTTTTTTGTAAAAGCATCATTAAGAGGAATCTATTTCATTGCCTCACTTTCACTTACATTATATGTAAGTGTCATGCTAGTACTGTACTTAGTGAGAGGCTTTTTGCATTCATGGTTTCCTGTAGAAAATAAAGGCATTTTTCTTGCTTAGTTCAGAATGCAGACAAGCACGTTACATCATTAGGCCTCTAGGTTACGCTGGCACTGTTGAGTGATCTTTCTGTTCTCAAGAATAAGTAGTACAAACAGCTGTATGTCTTTCCATTAACTTGCTAAATAAAATACTAACACATTTTTATTGTGCCTGCTATGCTAATATTGCACTGAACTAAAAGCATGCTTCTTAGCTCAGGGCCATAGCACTGTGAATCTAGTATGGTGGTTGAGGCCACTAATGATTATTACATTGATTACCTTAGGTACATTCCTGTCCATGTACCAAGAGTTTTACTGGGCACTTGGTTGTCTTTCAGTCAGAGTAGGTTGAAGAAGTACTAAGTGTACCAAAGGGTGCTGTTGAGGTGTTAGCTGTAAGGGTACATTGTGCTCATAAGCATGTGGCAAAATGAGTTGCAGCTAGATGTTTTCTTTAAGAAAGCCATAGAGGGACCTCAACAGATACGAAGATTTACATGGTTTGGAAGACTCAACAGGACTCAGTCTTACTGAGTGATGCCCACAGACTTCTGAGTATAAGGGTAAATGGATGTTTAAGCATGAAATAACAGCCACGAACCTGAATGATCCTACAAAGTAGTCAAAAATGCTCAAGAGAACAGAAGGCAATACTATTTAGAAGTCAGATATTAAGTAAAACAGGAGCTGTAGTAGTAAAAGTACTGTTTATAGCCCCTCAAAGCTGTTGGTGTAAGTGGAGGTTCCCAGGTTGTGGCATGCAGAATGTACAGTGCTCCTACCCTTGAGGGCAGTTAAGAGGCAACTTGCCAGGAAGTAGTTATGCAGCTGGAACAGCTCCTGTCTAGAGACTTAAGGCACTGAGCAGCTAGCATAAACTATGTTTTTATCTTGATATGCATGTCATTTGCATGCCAAGGGTTAAATCCAGTCACTCTTAAAGCTTCCCAGATAAGCATAGCATGCTCTAGTGGTAGGCATTTCCAGGACATGTTAGACCTAGCTTGCAAACAAATGGAATACATACAGTGTTACTACTACAAGTGTCAGACTCTGGTAGAAGGTAGCTGTGGAGGCCAGATGTACACAAGTCTGGTCCATGCTTCTAGATTGCCAGAAATTCCTGCAAACTGACTTCAAGTAAAAGCACCTCTGAGGAAGCTTGGTCCTGCTACTATCAGTGACAATGCTTGTGAAGTTATGTTTAGTAACTCTGGCTTTTAAATAATAAAGGGTGAATATAGATAAATACCTGCTTAGGTAGAACAAGTGGGTGTTTTCTCTTGGTTCAGACATTCTTTTTCCATATCTGGAGAGAGAATAAGCAACACTTTAGCAAACTCACAACTTAGTGCAAAAACTTGGTTAATACTGAGCATGCAGAAGTTGTATAAAAAGCTAAGTGCAAATGCATACAGATTATGGCATTCAAGAATGAAATTTGGACAGCTTTTACCAGTTGCCCTTGATCAAATAGATAAACACTTCAACCTCTGCTAGAGAAAAGCTGTTTTTAAAGGCATATGCATCTGTGCATGAAGTAGTTTTGTTAGAGAACTTTAAACCAGAATAATTTAGAAGTGAAGGCTAAACTTTAATTTAGACTAAGACTAATTTTCCTGTGTGCTCAGCATCTACCATCTTGACTCTTGTTTTAACACTTCTGAAAATCAGGCTCAGCACACTGACTTTAAGGCAGTCCAACAGCAACCCTCTAAGGTAGCTTTGATCTGTATTACCTGTTAGTAGCTTGTCAATTGTGTCCACAACAAATTTTGCATCCTCCATATTGAAGCACATTGGGGGTTTGAATTTAAGCACATTTCTTCCTGGTCCATCTGTACTCAGTAGAATATATTTTTCCTTAAGTCTGGAAAGAGCAATAACAAAGAATTGTGTTTACTTTTGCAAGTAGTTCAGAAAAGCTTGCAAGCATGAGCATGCAGGCTGTCCAGACAATGCCTTTCTGCACTGACTGGTTTCTTTTTCTGCCAGTTGGCTGTATTTTAACAACTATTTATTGAGTGGCAAGGTTACTCTGTAATTGTGTTTACCTCGCATATCAAGAAAGTACATGATTGTCCCTTGTACCTTGTTATTAGATGCTCTGCTTCTGCTGTGGCTGGGGTCCTTTCTGCTTGATCCTTGATTAAGTCCACTCCAATGAATAAGCCAGAACCTCTTTAAAAGAAATAAAAATAGTCAGACTGTGTCAGAGGAAGGAACTGCAAGTGAACTAAAAAATTGAGAAAAGAAAAAAATAATTGTGAGACCAAACATTTACTGTATGAGAGTTACCTGATGTTTGGCTAGTGATAGAAAAGGTATTGCTGTTTTGAAGAAATGGAGTAATATGGTACAGACTCTTGTCTGCTCAGAATAGCAGCACAGGACATGATGTTAAACATTTTCCATCCAGATCATAATTCTGTTTGTGCACTTGAAGTAAGAGTTCAAACAGGATAGTGAATTCCTTTAGCAGCTAATAAAACACCAAAGCAGTACTGGCCTGGAGTGGTAAACCATCTCAGACTTCTGATAAGCTAGTTTGTTTTAAATCTGATGTACAGCAGGCCATTGATTTTTGCTGAAAGCAGATATAATGAACTTAATAAAAACTCATCAGTTGGATTGAGTTGTTTGACTGTCTGAACCAAACAAAAATCAGCTAGAAATGGAAATAAGGCACTGATACCTGACATCACCAATGATGGGATGCTTGATTTTCTGCTCCTTGAGTAGCTTCATCAAGAAGTTGCCTACTTCTGTGGCATGAGCCTGAAGGTGTTCCTTCTCAATCACATCTAACACAGCTAACCCAACTGCACATGAAACAGGGTTTCCTCCAAACTGAGCTCAGGAAAGGAAAAAGTGTAGCCATGGAAAGGAAAAGGAAGAAAGATGCAATCGTGTCACTTCAAAGTGTAGCCTCAGTGATATAATAAGCACAGTGCCATTTTCATGAGATGGAGCCAGTAAATAGAAAGTTATAAACCGTAAAGGTACAAATAATATAAGCAGTAACTGTGTGACAAAAAATAATATAAAGACTGCATAATTACCTCGTTTTAATACTTAGACCCATGTAGAGAGGGAGGGTTTGGGCAACTTTTTACTTACTGTATTAAAATACTCTACTCCTGTGGCTGCAAATGCTTCTGCAATTTCTTTTGTTGTTGCTACACAGGCAATAGGGTGCCCATTTCCTATTGGTTTCCCCATAGTGACAATATCAGGTATAAAATCTTCTCCCTGAAGCTGGAATGCCCAAAAGTGCTTGCCAACTCTGCCAAAGCCAACTTGAATTTCATCAGCAATAAATACACCTCCTGCCTTGTGCACATGCCTGTAACATAACAGATTTTATTGTCTCTTAAAAGGAAACAGAACACAATATTTACTGTTTAAGAACATGCAGAAAGCATCACTTTCCTGGAAGTTTGCAAACAAACTTGTACAGGCCTTTATTCTGTGTCATGTTTAAAAACAGGTCTTTGCCTACAAAGTTTACATTCTAACACAAAGGCATAGGCCACTTCCTGCCTATCAGGCTATATGCTACAGCAGGCAGAGAAATTATCATCTATATTTATCAAGTATGTTAAATTAAAAAAGTTAAGATCATGAATGACCACTTACTCTGCAACCTTCTGAAAATAGCCTGCTGGTGGAATGATTTGACCACCCACGCTTGGCAGAGATTCAACAAAAAATGCAGCAATCTGAAACATATGTAGCATATAATGTTTGAACACAATACAGAAAGTAGTGGAAATTGTGTTAACAATTAGCAAGCTTTTTGTCATTGGATGGGTCTTGCATAATTATGTGATCTTTTCTTTTTGACAAGCCCATCGTGCTTAGCTCAGTAATCCTGAATGGTATTGACAGTGATGCTAATTTCTATGGCAAGACAAATGGTTAGGGAAGTCACATTTTACCTTTCTGCCTCTCGTGTGTGCTTGCTCAATAATATTTTTCACTTCATTAGCATAGGCTGTTACTGAATCTTCATGGTCTTCTCTATAAAGTCCTCTGTATGTGTCTGGAACAGGAGCCTATGCAAAGGAATGGTATCCTATTCAGTATATCATAAATAAGACTTCATAAATTAAGTAGTTGATAGTTATAGGCTAAAGTACATACCACATGGACCCATTCCTTTTGTCCTTCTAGATTTCTGAATTTATATGGGCTTATGTCAATCAAGGATGTCAGATGTCCGTGGTAAGCACTGAAAAAACAATTAGCAGAACTAAACAGTAATTTCATCAGTATCAAGAGTTCTTTAGGATTAGCATTACTGATAGCTAACGAGTAGCTAGGCTCTGCCACCTGGTGGGAATACATTCACTTAAAGTGAGAATAGCCCTGCAATTTCTATCAATAAGCTTAGTACTATCTGGATTTTTTTTGTGCGTCTGAACATAGAGGCTGCAGAGGGACAGCACTCCTTGTCACTGGTTTGCCTGGACCAGTGACTAGAATCACAGCAGTGTAAGTCATGAGCAGTCTGACAAGATTGCAGAACAAGTGGAAGGGACATGCCTGGCCTACTTCTGAATATCCTCCATTGCTGGAGTTTCCAGTCTCTCTGGGCATCCTGTTCAAATATTTAACCACCTTCATGGTAAAAGAGTTTTTCCCGATGTCTCATCAGAATTCCTCAGGTTTCAACTTGTATCTGTTGTCTTCTTTCCTGTCACATACATCTTCAGGCCTGGCTCCATCTTTTCTTCTCCTTGCCATTAGACAGCTGTAGTTGCAGTAAGATCTCCTTCTAGCTGTCTCCTACAGCTGAACAAACCCCATTTTCTTAACCTCTCAAGCCTGTGGCTCCCTACTCATTGCGGCAGGCTGCTGCTGGCCTTCTTCCACTATGTCAACATCTGTTATGTACTGGAGAGCCCAACCTGAACACAATTCTATGGGCTGGTCTCACAAATACTGAACAGAGGGAAAAATTACTTCCTTCAACCTCCTGGTCTTTCTGCTACAACAGGTTTTCAGAAATGCTCTGAGCGCAGACCAAAACTGAGCCTTGTACCCCGTAGTAGATAAAATTGCCAGTATACTTACTGATCTAAAACTATAACATCCTCATGTTTTGTATACTGCCGTGCCAATCTTAAGGCAAGATCGTTAGCTTCAGATCTACAATTGAAAAATTCAGTGTTTAATTGCAGATATACGAGTTTTGACATTCTAACCTCCCTCACAATGCTCTTTGCATTTGCAAAGAACAGATGGAACTTGATGCATGTTACTTAGTAATCAGCACTCCCTCACCAGAATCAGGACTGTTCACCAGAACAGAATCCATCTTAAAAAGCTGGAGTACATAAAATACTTTGGAAACAGGTTGTTTTGGGATTTTTTTTTTTTTTTTTTTTTTTTTTTTTTTGAGCTGTAGTTTGCCTGGGAATACAGGCCCTGCCCCCCCTCAGCAGAAATATGCAGTTAAATTTAGTTTTGGTAATAAAAGTGATTCCCAGTTCAGAAGACAAAGTCAGACCAGAAACTAATACAGTAAACATTTACATTAATGTTTTGTAGTCCAAGACCTTATCAACAGAATAAACCCCTTCTTAAATAAAGCGCAAGTTTAGTTCCTTGTGCTTTACTAAGCTTTTAGAACTTCTTGTGAAATTCTAAAAAGGACCATGGTTTCCTAAAAAAAAAAACCCCAAACCTTATTTTTCATTAGTATCTAGTCATCCACACCAGATCATCCAGTTGGCTGTTGATTCAACTAATGAAAACAGTATCAATTCTAATATAGCTGACTTACCCAGAATTCAAAAAATAAAAGATGCATAACTTCTCAGGTAGTGTTTTTGAAAGTCTGTCTGCATAATCAACTAAGTTGTCATGAAGATAACGAGAATTTGTATTTAACAATTGATTTTGCTCATGGGCTGCTTTTACTATATCAGGGTGACAGTGTCCAACTGCAAGAGAGTGGAGAGTAGTTTGAGAGTTCATCCGTATTACCTATGGTGTTCATTCACATACCAACTTGACAGTTACATTTCTCTACTAGTACAGAGATATTGTCACTGATGATTGTATTTCATCAGTGGGGCATTAATGGTATTGTCAGCAAAGACAAAGTACACCTTGTAACGTTTCTCTAAGAACTTTTTTCCCCTCAAGAAGTTTGAGGTTGCCTGCTACTGTACCATAAGGTTTATAGTTAATACTGGAAATTGATATGCTAAGACAAACAGTGTCTAATTTGACATTTTGATTTGGACACTTACATAATTTAGGCGTTTGGAAACATGCAAGTAAGCTTTACCATAAAATAATTATTAGCTTTTCTATGGTGTTTGTGACAGCACTGACCAGGTAGAGAGATTTCAAATACTGTAAGAAAGCAGCAGCTACTTCATAATACACAATTGAGGCACCACACTGAGCTTACCAGTAGTGTTTACAAACACAACAAAATGTCAAGCTGTTTGTTAGATTGCACAATTAGGTGCTTTACTTGAGCCTTCCTGGAGAAAAAAAAACCTGTAAATTTTTGATAAGTATATTTCTAGGAAGACAGAACAGGAAGCAAGCCTGGAAAGCACATTGACACAGAAATTCGAACATGAACCGTGATTTCCCAGAGTATAGGCTCCAGAAGGGTTTCTTCCACTTTTTCAATTAAACAACCCTTCCCTCAACACAATGCAACAGCGGTAAAAAGTACTGATTGTTCCTTGTTCTGCTTAGAAAAACATGGTATCAAATAACATGACTTTTAACTTACCGTGAGCAACATTGTTTATGCAGTCAAGGTATTGTCTTCCATTCTCATCATACATATACTGGCCTTTCGCCTTTATGATCTTCACTGGATCATTAGAAAAAAACAACTTGCAAGAAGAGCTAGAGCAAGCATCAGAAAGCACAATAAATCTTAGGGAATTCTAAAAGTCACATAATTTTTTCTGCTGATAATATTGTCAGTTAGGTCATTTAATCAAAAGAAGGACATTTCCCCAGTCTGCAGGCAAGTATCATCCTCCTCCTGGGCTCTAAAACAAAGCTTGGGATGGGGAAGAGAACAGGCCTTGTGCTCTATATCAGGTCAAATTTTCTGAGACATCTAGGGAAAAAACACACTCCAGAACTGAAAATCCTTCACTAGGAATCTAGCCACAGCGCACAGATAGGACTTACCTCTGTGGTTTCATCCAGTCTTAACTGTGGCTCCTTAACTGTCTATGCTTTGCCCTTTGTGTTCTTGATACCCTCTTTGGTGTCTCTTTACCTTGTGGTTGTTATTATATTCTTGCCCTTCTGCTAAGGTCCTAATTTTCCAGATAGTATGATGCCGGTCGTTGTTACATCTGTATAAAGCTTCACCTAACATTAGCTGAAATCTTGAGTGATGTTATAAGGCTGGGTCTACTTAAATGTGTTTGTTTTGTTTCACTTCATAAATAAATTGCCAAACAAGTAAAACCGAAACATATGTCTGCCTAAGTAGGAATTGCAGAGATTTGACTCTGGAGGGCAATGCCAAACTTCTGTGCTTCATTTAGTAAAAAATTGCTTATACAAAAAGTAAGATAATTCGACCATAAATACAAAATCATTGTCAAATGAACAAAAGATGATGATAAAATGAGAAACTGCTTCACTATCCCTCCCCTACAGGAATCCTATACTTTCTCTGTGGGCTGATAGTAAAATGGTAAAACAGATTTTTTGTAAGCTTATCTGGACAGTTCAGCAGATGCTAGGAGAGCACTTGCAGAGGCTGGGTCTTTGTTCCCCATGGCAGGGCAAATCAGTTACAAAAAGATTAAATATACAGAGTGGTATTCTTCAGGTTTGTATAACGGGCAAAATGGTAATTCCTGCTGAAGCCCAGTTTCTGGATTCATAAAACATAGATTAAAGCAGCCCTGGTTTTGAGTACATATAAAGCACAGTATAAAAGCATTCCCGCAGTTAAATATAACTGTTCCGCTGCCATTCCTGGTAGCAGTTTTACAGAACTAAGAATTTCTTAGGTCAGTTGAAGCAACACAAGTAATCAGAAGTTTGGAACAGAGTCTCGTACTTAATTCTTTCAAACTGGGCAGACATATGTTGTTATCTCTCTCACGTTTTTGGTGGAATAAAAAGTTTTCTGGAAGACAGGCTATAATAGCAGGCCAGCCAGAACCTCTGCTTAGCCTGGTGCGGTCCGGCAGTACCGCTGCAGGTGGGTTTAGTTCAGCTCCACACCGCGCCTGCTCCCGGCTGTGCTGCCAGGAAATGCTTTCTAAGCAGTTTAAAGTTTAAACAGGCACGCTCGCTATCATACAGCTTTTATGCTTCGGTTTCGCAACCCTCCTCCTTAAGAAATGCTCGTTACTGTTAATTACACCAGCAAAATCAAGCGTTGCGCCCTAACATCACCGACTTCCCCCACGACGTTGCTCGTTCAGACCCCGGGTTTGGGGCAGGAGCGGGGCTGCTGTAGCAGGGCCGGGCTCGGAGCCGCCGTGCGGGGGGACGCGGGCGGCTGGAGGCGAGCCCGGGGCCGCCCGGAGCCACGTCAGGCGGGGCGGCGGCGCTCTCCGGCCCGAGGGGCGATGGCAGCGGCAGCTCCGCGCCGCCCGCAGCACTTACCCGACCAGCTGCCGCCGCAGGGCCAGGGTCTCCTGCCGGGAGCGCGGCGCCGGCCTCATGGCCGCTCTCGCCGCCTCGGAGCGGGCCGGGCAGGGGCCGCCTCCCGCCGAGGGCGGCCCGGGCTGGGGAGGGGCCCGGCCCGCCCCCGCGGCCGGAGCTCGGTCACAGCTGTCCCAGCGCCGAAGCCGCAGCTGCGGGAAAACGCGCCTCGCCGCGACGGTTAGCAGGAGCTGCAGCAGGCGTTCACGCGTGTCTGCGCCAGCAGCGCCCGTAGCTCCGCACCTCCGTTATCGTGGCGCCCAGCTCCGAGCTCCCGGCCGCTCCTAGTTAACACCCAAAACACAGCTTTAAGCAAGCTGATTTCACAAGGAGGTGAACAGTAACTCACCAGTGCGTTCAGGCTCCTGCGGCTGTGGGGCTGGGCTCTTCACTTAAAGCGTCAGGAGCGGTGACTTCATGTCTGAGGTCCCATACGTAGCACAAAGGGGGGAGAGGCTGCATCTGCTGGGCTCCTGCAAAGCTGCTGGCAGCTCATATGGAAACTGTACCTCAGGGTGTTAGACCAGTGGTGGTGGCATAAGGCCCCAGATCCCATTCCGTTACCAGGCACCTCAGACGTAATAACATGTTTCTGAGAGCTCTTAAAGTTCATTGCAGCTATATCATAACGCTGTCTTTTGAAATACTTACATGTCGAGGAAGTTTCTTTTACAGTTGAAAATAATTTGAGGTGGTAGCCTAGGTGTTACAACTGTATTAATTGTTCAACACACGCTTCACTATTTAAGTAAAACCACACCATTGTTGTATTCTTTTGTTTGGTTGGTGACAGATAGGTAGACCTGGCTGACTACTTACAAGCCAATCCTAGAATAGACAAATTAGGATTAAAAGAGGAAATGCAATCATCAGATTAGAATGGTCAGTCCTCCGTTCCTGTTTGATTTGAATGACTTAAAGAAAAACAGGAAGATAAAGAATCAGAAAGGATGTTCTGGGGTGGGTTGAGGCCTCTGTCACTGCAGGTGTTGTATCCCATAACCGACTTCATAAATTTATCAAGCTTCAGTCTAAAAGATGCCAGATTTTTTTTCTTCCAAGTACATGTTCACATTCTTTTGTTTTAAACTGACAACATCTGTTAAGACTCTAGAAAATGGAGAAGACCCTTTTAAACTACACACTTGGCTGACTAGGTATAGCCACGAATAATTATCTCTAGTTGCACGTATTTGTTAAACACGAGAGCAATTTAAATTTTGTGTAATATGCAGAATCCAAACCCAAATTGCTAAGCACTTAAAGTTAGATTGAATTTAGGAAGTCAAACTCATTTGTTGCATTAAAGTCAGGTTTTAAGTAACAAAAGACAGTGGAGGAAAAGTTAATAATGGCTGTTAATCTTTATTTGAACTCTTGTCTGGTTAAGATACTTAGTCGCTATTTATAGTAACAACCTGAACATTTACACTTTGGGAGGTTTATTCTTGATTACAAATGCAGAGTTCATTATACATATTCACACAACTGTAAAAGCAATCTGTACAGAGAGACCATTCTTTAAAATCTAGTCTTTGCTTTTATTACAGAAAGCAGAAGAAAAAATATTTTTGGAGGTCTCAAGCTAACGTACTGTCCATTACAGCTTTAAACTAGAAATACATGATGCAGTACTAATTAATACCATGTTAACATGTTAAAACAATGGATAAAAAATACTGTTATTAATGCCTTCATTTTTAAATGAGTTGTTCCCCAAAGAAATGAGTAAATAGAATACTTTTCATGGCACATACATTATTAAAAAAATCACAGAGTTTGCAAATAAGAGATGTTAAGTAAATCTTCTGCATTTTTAATATCTATATATATTTGTTTTTAAAGGTGATACATTTTACAGAGATTTAGTCAGCTTTGTGTAAAATACCATGTAAATACATTCTTTTGCAAGGTGTCCAAACTGCACACACACGCAAATAGCCCTTTCTCCTCTGAACAGCCTTACTGGAGTGATGCAACAACTCATAAAAATAAGGGACACTTGCATAACATGGTAGAGGATTAAGCCCTATCAGTATAATTTCAAAACAAATACAGATCAAGCACTCATTGCATGTATTTTTCTAAACTGTATACGAATAAGTGAGATTTCCATTTAGATTTTAAATCTAGCCGGTATAGTTTCTCAAATTATGTTTTTTCAGAAATGCTAGCATACATGCCAGGTGTAAAATATTTCTGTGTCCAAAGTAATTTAATACAACAGAGTAGGTGGCTTTCAGTTTTGACTGTGGCATTTTGTGCTGAATGTTCATCATATTGAATATCTTTGATTTTTTTTTTTTTAATATACCAGAAAGAACTCTAAATAGTAGCACAAAAATTGGCTACAAATTGTCTATAAAACTGCACTCACCTATGAAACTAACCAGCAAACACAACAGAACTCCAACTCTCATTCTAACCGGTAACAATTTGCTAACCTCTTCTGCTTAATTTGGAAATTCAGTGGGCTGTGTGGGTGCTTTTGCTTTGCAAACCCAGGTCCTAATTTTTTTATGTATTTGCAGAAATGCAAGTTTGATATGCACCCACCTATACTTAATAACATCATGTTAAATGCACTTTTCAAAGTTAAGCATACAACACAGTGAAATTTACAGATACTTGGGGCATCTCCATTTTACGTTTCTGTTCATTAATATCTACATTATATAAGAAACCACACACAGACACACAAGTGAGCTGCCTGTTCCCTCAAACTGCGCAACTATAAGGCAACTTCTACCAGAACTTAGCGAACAGGGATTGATTGTTGTCCTAAGACACAGGAGAACCGCAAATGTTAATAATGTATTTCTTAGTCTACTCTGTTGTCAATAACGCCACTTCTTATGCATTGAAAACTCATGTTTCCCAGCTTTCCTGTGGTTTTCCCCCAGGCTTTCTACAGTAGTATAGAGTCATACAATCTATTAAGTCCTTCGTCCATTCATTTCTAAGTGACAGGTTTTCAGCACTTACTTTAGCTGCACATTACACAATAGACATGCCTTTTGTTGTGCCATCCATATGTACACAAGCATATAGAAAAGTTCACCTGGGGACATGAAAATACTAGAAGTAACTTTTAGCTTACAAATGTAAATGATAATCAAGGAAAACAAAGTTTAGGAAATGGATTTTTTTTTAATTCACTAGTTTGCTTCAGTCTGCAATAGATTTCCCAAAGTGGAGCTGAGAAGTATTTCAAACTGTACTAATTACAGTCAGGTTCACTGCAGTGCCAGGGACGCAATTAAAGGCAGGGGACTCAAGTCCAGTAAATGACAGTGAAACTGGACTAACTAGAGTGACCAGATATTTCCTCCCTCCCCAACCCCCCCACCTTTTTTTTTTTTTCTTTTTTTTAAAAATCACTATTGCAAAAGTGTCCAAGGAATAATCTTACATAATGCTGTCCTGCAAGGTTGCCAAGGTCAGTATATACCACAGTGATTGCTTTGGCAAGCTGTAGTGTCTTAGGTCTCCTGAAATCTATCCAAATACTTCACCTCTCACTTGAAAATCATCCTGGTGAAACAATTGGAAGGCTGGCTGTGCTGTTAAGCATGTCAGCAGATGCTTAACAAGTAAAATTTAGGAGCTTCAAATGATATAAAATAGTACTAAGGTTTTACTCCATCCTTGGACACCTACTGAGGACATGCCTAGCTATGATAGTGCAAGTCAGAACCAAACTTACTGATCTGAATTCAGCCAGATACCGACAGTATTTGTCTGGGAAAAGTAGTTTGGGGACATTTTAGTTCTTATATTTTTACCATTTTTTGTTACCAATATCTTTGCATATCTTAAATATAAATCTTTTGTCTAAAGAAAACAGTTCAAAGCTTCTGTGCTCTAAAATTTAAAAATGGAAACTTGACAGGTAACCTACTACAAATAGATTTTATTTGTGTAACACTTTAAATTGTTTGGGTGACAATGGGTCTAAAAAAAACCAAAAGTAAGGATATGATGGTATTTCCCAAGAAACTAATGCTGCTCCTGTTTTACAAATATCTATTCAAACCATACAGTTACGCGTATCCCTGTGTGTGCTGTCAGTTAAGGGACAGTCATGGAATAAAATTTGCCCTGGCATAAAATTTGTTTCTATTGATAAAAGATCTCCTCTAGAGGGCAGCATTAAATCAGTATTCAAGGACCAGGAAACCTAAGCCCTAACACTCCTTTATAATACATACTAAATTTGCAGTTTGATAAGGCACAGATATATTGATCAAGGATAGTTATTTACCATTACAATAAAGCTGGAAATATCTGGCATCTCAGTATTTTAATTAAGCTGTGTGTTACAGATGGGCCAGTTCTTTATTCCGGTCCAGGTGTCTGCTATATTTGGCTGATTGCAAAATCATGTGCTATATATAAAAATTCACAGATTCATTCTGGGCTGTGGGCTGGTGAGATAGTAAACACTGCTGCCTGAAGTCTTTGCTGGTGTAATGTAATTTAGCACTGGTAAAGCCAACACAGTCGCACTCAGTTCCAGCAGCTGAAGTGGGACGCTGAGCTTGCGTGTTAGGGGGAAGAGAAGAAAGTAGCCAAACGAGAACACAGGCTTTCGGGCACAAAAGCTTTGGTCATCCCAAACATACTTCCTGGCTAGTGGGTTACTATAACAGTTTTAAAGCCCCAGGTAATGACCTGTGTCATTCTCCATGGATTACTTTTCATCATTGCATAAAATGTCTTGAACTGCTGGAAATTCGCATGTGTTTTGCTGGCTTGTTTAAGGATTTCAAATGCTGAATTTATAAAATTAGAGAAGACAAAAAGCTCACCTAAATATTTCATCTATTGGTTTCCTAAAAAGAAAACACATCAGAAAGTTTCTTATTGTCAAACGGTCTTATTTTTTAAATACACAGGAGAAAAATCCATATGGAAATAAATTCATCACCATTATATGTACAGCAAGTATTAGAAGCAGTGTATACAAGAAAGGTGACTCCCCCCAACCTGAGAATAAAACAAAGCATGTGGCAAATGTCTTGATTTTAAAAAAGACACCAAATTAAAATCCCAGAGCATTAAGGCTTGGAAACAGTTTCAGTTTGGAGCCGGACTGGGTTTTCTCTGCCACCTGTTTCATAACCCAAAGAAATATTCCTGAACTCACTGGCCAAGCTTACAATTCAGCTGCAATCATCAGGTTCACACTCTAGCAAGGGGCCTCTGGAGTGTGAGCATGCTTTCAGCACTGGAGTTACAGATATGGGGGGTTATTTGGCCATGTTCCCTTATCCCCCCCAAGCCCATTCCCCCCCCAGAAGCTTTAGGGAGTGCTCCCCATGATTCTGGTTCGGGGTAGCATCCTCAGCCCTGGAGCTGCCGCAACCACAGCAAGCGGCAGCTTGAGCGCTGAGCATCTCCTGCGTTTGCCATCTCGCGTGGCAAGGCAGGCCCGCCTGCAGAGCATTGGGACTGCAAAACTTTTTAAGGGGTTTCCAGTGAGTTCTTGCACCCTTACGACTCAGTCTGGGAACTTTGCTTCCAAAATGGATTAGGCTATGTTGGAGAGAGGATGGTGGTAGTAACTGGGAGGATAGTCATTCGCTACAGTTATAAATAGAACAAACCTTAAGGAAAGCTGCTTGTCCTCTGCTTGTGGACAGCAGGCAGACATGCTTATCTTAACAAAATGGAAACCAGTATGCTTTCATGGTCAGTTAAGTTAGACTAAGGAATTTTGGTTTTTAAACTAGAAAGCAAAGATAAAACATAAATTCGTCTGGGCTTCAAATTCCCTCAAGATGAGTAACTTAAGTGTGTTATCCAAAATATCTACTGCTGAATCTGTGAAGCTAACACACTAAATATTTTAGTGATCAAGATAAGTCAATTGCTCAGTCTCAGACTGACCTACATTTAATAAGCATTAGCAGCCTCTCTGTCAATCATTTTTATTGCTACTGACATCTAGTGGTAACATTTAGCTGCATTTCTGAATTCCTGTAAAAAAAAAAAAAATTCTTACATTCTCGCAAACCAGAGGGAGAGAAAAGAAAACGAGAGAGTCTTCCTGGGGGAAAAAATGCACTATGCTCTGTGAGACACTGAGAGAATTACTGAGTTTTGAGTGAGACTGCTAGTACTACCTAAAACTAAAATTTATCTTTGTGAGCTATTTGCAAACTCAAAATATTCAAAAAGACCGACATAAACATTTTCTTATGGAAGGAGAAAAAGTGATCTGGCATGAATTTGCTGAGCAAAGCACATCTTTTTTTAACTCTTCCCAATAAGATCATGACTGATCTGAAACAAATTATCCTGTAACAATCTCCTCTTAAAAATATTTGTGTGTGTGGAAAGCACATGGAAGTCTAAACAGATTCCTCTTAGACTCTGTGCAGTCGATACAAAAATCAACAGTTCCTCTAATACAGTCTGTTGATCTGCATGATACGATTGATAAGGAACACTGAGTTCAGGAAATAAAGGCCAAACGCACTGATCTCAGCTGAGGAGCGGGCAGGACTTCACTGCAGCCCCGCAGCAGCCTTGCCTGCGGATCTGTACCTCGCTCTGTTCCCGGGAGCTCCGCTTTCCACAGGTCTCAGCTGCTTTGGTGACCGAAGGGGTTGGTAGAATAGACGTACCACCAGCAGATCCTTGGAGATCTACTGGCTAGTTCCTCGGAGTTGAAGTGGCAATAGGCGCTGTATACAGCAGGATCCATACCTGCCAGCATTTCTAATGGAGATGACAGTGGCAGAAGTCCAGAGAAGCTACTGCACGCAGGCTGCCGATCAGTACGTGTGCAGTATCTGTCCTGAACATCCCAGCCTTGCTGCAGGTGCCTAGATGGGTTTCCTTTGTACGTGCTGGACTCACTGTATTTGGGATGCAGAATAAACCAATGCAGAGAGGAGATTTGCCTGGGAATTTTCAAAGATGATCACTGAAAGGTTTGGCAGCTGAGGCGGTAGTGCTGATGGGTATGGACACCAGCCACAGTCCTGTGCTAGGAAGATAATTCTGGCCTTTCTCCTTGACTGGCATGGAAATGCTGTGAGTGGTCAGGGATAGGGAAGAACAAGCCTGGTTAAGAGGTTTAGTCAATTCAAAATGAGCTCTCTTCCTCCATTACAAACAAATGTCTTGGGTTCTGTGGCAGCAGAGGCTCTGTTGGGAGGGGGACGGCTGCCACGCAGAGCGATTAGAGCAATAGGTAAAGCACTATTCTGGTATTCTGTATCAATGTTTTGCAGGCCTGGCAGTGGTCACAGTTGATGCCTACAAGCACTGGATATTCCACAAGTTGAAGACGGAATACTGACTTGTTTACCTGAAGATAATAGGACTTCGGGGTATTTCCTCAGAGAAAATATAAATTTTAATATAATTTCATAAGCTTTGGAGGTTAGCTTGTCTTGTAGCTTCAGTGATATCAAACTTCTTCAAGTAGGAGCTAGATAGAAAGCTGTTTAGTTTTTGCCAGCGTATGTAAAACAAGACTTTTCTATCTGCATTGTAGATTGTTTGTGGACACTTCCAGATTCTTGTGCTTTCTGCAGTCATTCTGGGGACTGAACTCTCATTGATACTGATAGAGGTTCCATGAACAGGACACGTGCAGGAATTTGAGTGTAGAAGCCCACAGTGTGGTTTGGAGTAGTGAATCGCTTTTAGTTTGGAAATGACTGGGGGAGATGGGAAGAGCAGCTGTACATTAAGGGAACAATTACAGATCATCTTCCCGGTGACATCAATGAGAGACTTGCCTTCAACCTTCCACAGAAGAAGATTTTTAGCTTTAATTTGGGGCAGTAAAGGGGTTTTTCAAAAGCACTAAAAGCCACTGGGAGCTTGTTCAACTGCTCCTTATGCCTTTAAAAACCCCTACACCAAAAGTGATAGCTAACAACCTGAAATGGAAGTAAATAAAATGCATTGTCATTGCTGTTTTGAGTTACATAATTCTTGTTTCTTGATTTGTTAGTTGATCTGAATTTACATGGATTTAATCTATATGGTGACCAAGAAAGTGATCAGTAACTAGTAAAGATGCAAGGTATAGCCACAAAGCAAGCAATGTGTAGGTGTGGACCCTAAGCAGCTAACAAACGTAACAAAAGTTCACTGCCTATAGCCATGAGTCTTTTGTGTCCCCATCTTCCAAGCTAGATGGCCATTTCAGCATTTACCAGCAGATAACAAATGCTCCCAGCTGACTAAAAGGATAAGCTCAAGGACACCTAGGACCCAGTCACAGATAGGAACTCACAGACATCGGACGCACATCACCCTACCTGCGTGGAGCACTGAGCATGGTCCTACTCTTCTTCAGAATATGGGAGCAAGAACTACCTTAGTGCTAGGTCAGCTTGTACAGGGCAGGTTGCCCCTGGGCAGTTGCATCCCTCTCTCAAGTCCTCTCTGGCAGTAGCTGCTGTAAGAGATGCAGAGTTTAGATCTACTCAGTGCACCAAAAATTACTCCCTTCTGCATTCTCTAAGGTCAAGGCCACAAAGAGCCCTGGTATTATCTGGGTTGATATCATGGTCAGGCTCTTAAAGTCACCCGAGACTCCTACATGGTGCCTAGCAACTTGTATTGGTCTAAAGTATTTCCTCCAGAAATGATCTGTTAAATCAAAAAGGCATTAAAATGCTGGGGATTACATCGCTGGTCTGGTTAGGATTAATCAGTCTCACCATTAAAAATTCATGGCTTGCTTTATTTGACTTTGTGTAGCTTCAGCTTCTACCCATTGGACAGATACTTGTACATCTTTCTCTGTTCAATTTAAGAACTTGTTTATATAAAGTATCTCCTCCCTGTAAAGGAATCTGATTGCCTCTTGATCTTCACAGACTCGGCTGTAAGCCATTTTCTTCCTCCCTGAAATAATTTTTTATGGCACAATCACTATTTTTTTCAACATCTTTAAAAATGTGGACAGTTTGCAGATTTTTAATTCATCTCATTTAATGCCATATGCAGATATCAAAATCACAGTCCTCCTTTTATTCATTACCCTGCCCTGCCTGGGATGTGCCCAAAAAAGGGGAGAGAAGGAAGAGGACAAGAGGAGTATGCAGAGTTAGAGTTTCCAATTAAAACCACGTAAACCAAGAAAAATCAAACACAAACAAACCCTACAAATGAAGACAATTAAATACTCCAAACGCCCAAGTTTCGGGAACCCTAACAGCAACAGTGTGTGCTCTGTTGGTTAAGAAAAGACTTCAGCAGAGCCCTCCCTGTCTTGCAACTCTCTACACTGGAAGTATTGCTAGGTTTTTGTGTTTTGAAATTCTGCAGTGGAGGTTTCTTGGGGAATTTGGGTTTCACGGTAACAAAGCGCTTGCACATCTTCAGCCACAGACCCCAGAGGTGCTTCCTCTTGAGAAAAAAAAACCCTGTTCTTGATAGTAGTGGAAATAACCACAGGTAGTCAAGGTTGTTCTGTTTAGCCAAAGAATTGCGATTTCCATCATATCAATGGCAGGTAGCAATGAATGGAGCTTGTCTTTTGTTTCCTCTGCAAGTTGCAAGTCCTTCTCTTTTTTGACCAGATGGTATATAGCAGCTTCTTTCATTTCTAGGGCTGCATCCTTTTTTTCTTCTTTGTTTTCAGCCAGTATTTTTCACCCTTTTAATGTGCATGTGCAATGCAAATGCAGAATTGAGAGCCAAATTAGGATAGGGATTTCTCCCTCCTTCATGCGATAAGGCACAGTAGGCAACACGCTGTCTCAGTACTGTTAGTTCACACAGCAACATTAGCAGTGAATCCTGTTCATTCCCAGGTACTGTCACTGGTACTTTTATCAAATCCTGTTGTTACCACGCGTATCTTATGGGTTTGGGTGCTTTACAGTATTTTCAAAGTCCATAAATGACAGCATCCAGTATAAAAAAAGGTCAATATATTACTGTTGTAAGGGTTTTTTTTTCCTTTTTTTATACAAAAATTAAAAAGATCAAAATATATCACATTATTTACATACTGTGCTTCATGCTTAGAGATCACTGAAAAAGAACACACAGACAAACATTTCAATCAAAGAAAATGCTCCATTCATGCTTACTAATCTTATTGTTAATATTATAAAGTTTGGCATTGAGATTTCTTTTAATATTAACAGTACAGCAAAACAACTTACCACAGAATTAAAAACTTCTATATGCTAAGGGCATGCTCACACTCTAACCGAGGGTTTGCAACCAGTTAGTAACATGCTTGCTATTAACTCAAGCTGTGTCCACACACCACATGTTTGAAACTGGGTTAGTAATTCCACTCAGTTTCTCCGATAAGGGTTTGACACTGAATGACGTTACAGCATCCTCCTACAAGCCTGGATCAAATCCTCATCTTATGGGGGGATGCATCTCTCATTGTCCTGAGCTGTCTTCAGCACTTACAATCCCTGGCTGTTGTAGGTGCGTGGGACGGTACGAATTACCTGGCCACTTGCACAGAGATTTACTGATTTGAGCACTGAAGCAGTGTAGAGGTTGTAGATTATAATTACAATGGCAGACAAGTCTTTGCTTGGAAATGTTTTGTAACTGTGACGAAGAGGCAACCCACTGTATGAGTCTCAGCTAGAAGGTATGGGCTGAGTCACGAGAGCACGTTTTTGCAGGGCGGTGCAGTCTTTGCATGAGCAGTTCCTAAACTGCCTGGGCCATAAAAAAAGCCTAGCCCAAGCAAGCCTAAAAAAAGGCATTGCTACTGACAATATTAATGAGAATGATTTTTCATGCTTAGGCAGTTGATTTTTCATGCTTAGGCAGTTTTTGGAGCGGTGTTCATAGCACCAGTCTACAGCTGTGGGGAACAGGACATGGAGCCAGGTGGAACCTGCTCTCCCAAGGCATGACATCACGTCTGCCAGGCATATAACCTGTTGCTTAAAGGATGTGCAGCAGTGCAAACTATCACCATGCAGCAAACAAAATTACTCAGGACCTGCTCAAGGATACACAATTATTACTGTACCTTATGCCAGCATCCTGCTACAGGCAGTCCGTCTGGTCCCTGCAAAATTGAATTTGCAGATTTAATTTCTCTTCACAGTGATTTAAGTGTCAGACCCAAAAACCTGAAGCTCAAGCTTCACAGTGATGAAAAGTTTAGCAGCACCCATAATTACCATGCAAAACCCATTTACTGTATATGCACAAAAATAAAGACGCAGGCAAAGTAATCCGTGTCACACACAACACAAAATTGGATACAACCCAGGGTAAAAAAAAAAATAATCTAAACTTTCTTCATTTAAACAAAAAAAAATTGTGAAAAAATATAAAAATTTTAAACCACTGTTAATTAATTTCATCATCTGCTTAAGGTAGTTGTTTTTGCAACCAGACATATATGTGGAAAGCGTGATATGGAAATGTATTTTTTGTTCATGTGTGCTTTTCAGTTTGGGGACGGTGATGTAATTTTTTTTCCTGGATGATCTCCTAATTGTGTTAAATTCAATCTTGCAGTACTTAGTTTAAGAAATCTTGAGCTGCTGAACTGATTTAAATAGGATGAGTTGTGGACTATGCAAAGGGAGTGAAAATACGTGTCTTTTTCTGATGGAGATACAAGACATACAGAAATCAGAAAGCCAGAAGAGTTTACTTAACCAGGAGGAAAACACTGAAAAGGAAGGAGCCCCTTAGAAGAGGAGTGGACTGTGTATGACCAACTCTTTCAAGATACTTTAGAAGAAAATAGCTGACTTCAGCTGCCTTTTCTGATGCTGGATTTTTTTTTAAGGCTCTTGGCTCTCTGATTGCATGAATTTCTGCATTTAGAGCTACAGAGAGCACACATGCACTGACCCTTCCCTCAGAGCCACCTCCAAATTGCCTCGAGGTGGGAAGCCATGAGGATGTGTGTACGCAGCGGAGATAACTGCTAGTGCAAATACAGGTCAAAATGCATTTTTACATTTTTTTTACTGTAAATGTCAGTCATCACATTTTTTGTATTCTGTATTGATTTTATATGTAAAATAGCCTGTGCCCAATAAAACACATGCAGTGAAGTAAGGTCACCCTCTCCAGCTACTCATAGTGTAACAGGTCCAGTTATTTTCACATGCTTTCCTCTAGCATTAGTTAGGAAACATACACATTCTTCTGCTGATACCAGTCAATATTTTGGTCCATAACTATTCATTTAAAAAAAGTACAACTTGTACATTTGCCAGAGTTGTCTGGGTGTGAAGGATAAAGGGGAGAAGGCGTGGAGCAGTTGTTTGGCCTAGAAGGATTCTGACCTGCTGTTAGAGTGCATCCACAGTCATGGGGTTGATTTCTGCCCTGGGCTTTTTGTCTTTCCTGTGCACTCAAAATACTTATTTTGGCCATCATAAAACTCTGCGCCTTTCTACCATGTTTCAATCAAGTGATTCCAAAATGACTTGTCAACTTAAAAAGAGCTTTGCAACCTGTGAGTAAGGCTCATGCTCATGCTCCTGGACTGAAAGTCATCTCAGAACCCAGCAAGCCTCCACCGCACGGTGGGGTGGAGCACAAAGACAAAACTCCCAGCCAACATGCAACTAACCCTCACATACATAAGCGGAAAGATGTGCAAGTGCTTTACTAACATGTCTTGTAGTAATGACATACTGGAGAAATCACCTACTGCAGTTCACAATGCCTTCAATACATATGGGTCTTATGCTTTCTATAGAGTTAAGATGGGATGTACTTGGTAAATACAACATCTCTGGGGAGTAAATATGAAGAGTTGAAGTGGGCCTGCTGCTAGTAATTGATTTCTTTGACACATATGAAAGTAATTTAACTTTTTGAAAGAGAGACAGCTTACTGCCCTTTTGTTTCTCTGAAGACAACTGCAAATCATCTAACATGCAGCATTTTCTATGTTTAAAAAAAATGAAAATAAAACAATGACCTCTCTCAGCTAGTTGTGCAGAGCCCTTTTGGGGAGCAGAGGACAAATCTTCCTGCATAACTGTTGGACTTCAACCTGAGTTCCGTGGGGCAGAGCTCTGTGCTGACACAGCAAACTCCCTTCTGATGCCCAGAGTGCCAGTGACCCCTGCTCTGCAGAATTGGCAGCTCATTTGGGGAAAGCTTTTCAAAACCCAGCTGGGAATTGGATTTGCAGGGCTGCAGCAGCACAGGTACAAAGCGAACCAAACAGGGTGATAGGTGCTGAGAGAAACCAGGACTAATTTTTATCATCTCTTACCACAAAGGGGCAAGCATCCTCTACACCATCTCCCATTGCTTACACTCCTTAACTAGTCATTTTAGCTGGGAGGAAGGCAGCACAACACCCTGGCATCCTTCCCTGAATGCCAAAGTAAAACATCTTGTTCCAGCTCTGCTGCCTCTTGTCCTTCCTCGCCCTAAAGGGATTTGCTCCTTGGGACGGGGCTCGGCCTTAGCAGAAACACACACAAGCCATGCAAGAAAGAAAGAGAGCAGATACTGTACCAAAGGACAGGGCTCGCTCACCCCGTCCAGGCCTGGTAAACCTGGGTCCCTTTTGCTGCCTGCAATGCTACAGTCTCCCTGTTTGAAAAAATAACTGCTTGTTGAGAATGGTAAAGGACATGGGAGTTACTTGAACAGACACCCGTTTCAGCAGAGGAAGATGGGTCCAGAACTTTACACCTCCATTTCTGATGACACAGCAAGTCAGCAGAGTGGTTTTATGGTAGGAGATTCACGGACACATAGAGTCTGTCATCTGGGAAAGATCTTCTATACACAAACCAGAGATTCATGTTTGTGACAGTGCAGTGAAAAAGATGAGGGTTAAATTGTCCAACATGTTGAGGGAAGAAAGGTGATCCATCAGAAACAAAAAAATTAATTGTAGTTTGCATTCACAATCTCCAAGCAAAATAAAGCATATTGACTGAAGGAGGTTTTTGCTGGTATAGTGGAGCTATACAACAGCTTTGATTGCCATAGCTGTGCTGGTGGAGTGAGAAAAAGTCACACACTTAGACAAGAATTGGGGTTTTGGAGCATGTTGGAGCAGGTACCTGGCATTACTAGTTAGATGCCTCTGAACTAAAGTCGTAACAGCTACAGTTAAGTAGTTTCAGTCCAGTAGTTGATACCAATTACTCTTTTCATCCTGCAGCGTCAAAGCATTTTAGGGAAGGAACCTTTTTGGTTTTAGTCATTATATGAAAAATAATAAAAAGGAGGTGAATTTTACCAGGCCAAATAACTTCTTATAAACCAGTATAAGTTTTTTTCTGGGCCCTGTCAAAGGAATGAGAAGTTCTGGAAGTGGACTTGGGGGAGATCCACCTTCCTCAGGCTCAAACACCCAGGAGGTTTCCTGGAAAGCCTCTTTGTGAGCACACTGCACAGCGGTGGCCCGGGATGTGTCTGAGAAGGGACAGATCTGAGGCAGGAGCTGCTGTCTCAGGCAGAGAAAGAGAGGTCTCTTCTCTCAGAGGCCCTTTGCAGCCTGGGGAGCTCCAGCTCATACCTCACTTATCTTTGGCAATACTGAGATGCTATCAACTCCAACCCGCTTCCCCACGTGGGAGAGCTGGAGCCAGGCTCATCCCTCGCTCAGATTGCAGAGATGAAGGGATGGAGCTGACCTTGTTTTCAAATCGCCTCCCATCCTCTGCATTGAGTTACTCCCTGATTTCAAATGTACTCAAAAGCCAGGCCGGCAGCTTCACCAGGGCACGCTATCTCCCGAAGAGCATTACTGAAGCCCATTGTTCCTGACTACAATAATAAGGTCTTTACACAAAGATTCTTTATTTTTACTGCTGTGGCTTGCTCCCATCTGGCCAGTGAGGAGCCCTTACAGAGAGTAGTGAACTTCCAGCAGTGCAGATAAAACAAACCATTAAGAAAAGTGAGAAAACAATAACCATCTGCTCTGATTTACTGCAAAATAAAGAACTACCAAATCCTCCCTCCCTTTCCCTGGCTGCAAAACCGCATCTCCTTTTCAGTCCTGGCAACACACACTGAGGATGAGCGAAATAAAAGACTTACCACGGGACAAGGCTGATCCAGTCCGGGAGGGCCTGGTTCCCCTTTTTGCCCTTTGGCTCCTTTTCTCCCTGGGATTCCTCGCTCACCCTGTTGGCACAACAGAAAAATATCAGGAACAGGAGGGCAAACACCTTGGCTTTAAATCACATAGCACTTGCAGAGTCCCACACGTCACTCAGAGAAGGGACCTTTGCAGTAGTGCAACCTCAACGGAGTAATTAAATCTGTGAAAATCTTCATTTAAGGCTGGGTAGGAGTATTTTAATAGATAATTTTATAGCAAAATGACTAAGTGACCAGTTTCTGCTAGAAACCAGGTGGGTATCTGACAGTAAGTGGGACCACCAGCTTCCAGCTGCTGCCCTGCACTCAGATGGGCTCCTGCCTCTGGCTGTGCACTCCTTAAATAAAGGATCCCTGTAACAAAGCCCTTGACTTGGATCCATTTTCAAGGTCTATAAACCAAAACTAGCAATTCTTTGCAACTTGGAGCTGTCAGGCTGCTCCATTTCCCCACAATGGTTGTGCTGGGGACAGGGACAGGCTTGCAGAAAGCGCTGCCAAGTGGGTAGGAATTTATTGCGTGTCCTGCCCTACACTGGGACCATGCAAATACTTGTGCCACAGCAAAGGCCTTACAGCAGTGACCTGAGAAACTGCCAGGCTGGAGAGGGAGCCAGCACCCAGGGCAAGCATCGCTGCTTGCCAAAAAGAGCAGCCAGTCCTGCCCCCACAAGCATCTCTACAGCCATAACCCACTTACCTTCTCGCCTCTTTCACTTCTCTCTCCTTTCTCTCCTCTGAGACCTGGGAAACCCTATCACAACCATTTTTAGGTGTGGGGGAAAAAAAAAAGATTTGTAATTTAGTGCGCGAACATCCTCAGTTCAACATAAACAATCTCCAGCAATCACCCATCCTCCCATGGTGAAGAATAAAACATTTTCTTCCTGTTAACTTGGTATGTCAACAATTTCTTGGGAAAGCTAGTGCTTCACCATACCCCAGTAACATTAGCTATGAGAGATCTGTGTTTCACTGAATCCAATACAAATATTCTCAATTGCAAAGGGAAACCCCAGCAGCATCTTTAGCTGAGCAGTTACCGCTGTGCAGTGGAGGTAGTCTGGCAGCTGGCCTGAATTGAGCCCATTCCTACAGACATCGTTCCATAGGCACTGTGTTTAAGGGACAGTAGTCTAATACAGTGTTAGTTACATATTTTTCCTACAATGTCTAGCAATCTGATGGCCTTTACTTGCATGTTGTTCGTGTTTCTACATATCACGATTCATGTTTTCCATACTCACGTCCAATCCTGGCTCCCCCGACTTTCCCTGCAGTTGTAAAAATAAAAAAGACATGCCATATTGAGTTTGGTGTTGCAGGAAAACTTACATCCAGTTAGTGAAATATGGTAGCAAGAGCATGGGCTCACCCCACAGCCCCTGGGGTTCGAGGGGAGCTCCTTGCCACGCATCGGGATAGTGCCGGTAAGCCCAGCTCTGCAGTTCTGGCTGGACCCACTGTGGCAGGATTTTACAGCCCCTATTTTAGGATTACACCACAACATCGCCACTCCTTCCCCACACTGATGATTACCTTCTCTCCTTTGGTACCGGGTAAACCGATGAGCCCTGGAGGACCCGGGAGACCCTTAAAGAAAAAAAGAAACAAGGCACTGGGATAGTTGCTCTAAGTTCTGTCGACGGCCAGAAATTTGACATGGGAAAACGACTCACAGCAGGTCCCGTGTCGCCGTGGTCCCCCTTCTCACCGCTGTCACCTTTTTCTCCCTTGGCACCATCCAAGCCCTGCATAAATGAAACAGCATCAATCGAGGAGACCTGGCAGCTCTGCCCAGGAAGGACAGCCACGCCGCACATCCACCGCACATCTCTGCCATGCTTACACCCACCCTGTCCTTAATGTTTTCCTCTTAACCAGACCATGTAAGAAAATAGTTGAAAATGCAGGTTTAAGCCTGTGGGTTTGGAAACCCTGATTTGCATGTGCCACTGGCCCTCAGGACTCCGTGTTGGAGGAGGATTTAAGATTGTAAATATGTTTGGAAGGAAAAATGGCTTGTTTTCCAAAACGCCAACTGCTGAACAGCACAACCAAGGGATGTGTTGTCACAAACAGTGAGAAAAAAATAATTCCCCAGAGCTGACAGGCCTTTGTGAGCTTGTAAATAATGCACTGGCAGCCTGGAAACAGTGGGTGACATTTAATTTATTGACTTACTTTAGGCCCCTGGATTCCTGGAGGACCCTGCGAGAAAGACAATGGTGCATTTGAAAAAAGAGAATTTAAAAACAAACCCTGAAGTTTGCTTCCTAAATACTTCCTTGCTCAAATTATGGGCTGACAGTGGCCAACTATTTCTTTTCAAGACAGGTGGCAGTTTATTTGGTTCTCCGATGTCAAATCGGGGGGAAGAGGAACCGAAAAGGATCGCTTTGCCTAACTTGCAACAATAAAGCTCTGCGACCGGAGCCTTGGGGAGCGAGTACTGCAAGAGCTTTGCTGAGGCAAGTGACAGCAAGCTCTGGAGGGCAGCGCCCCGCCACCACTGCCCTCCCAGCCCAGACAGGGCTGGGGACACTTCCCGGGTTATGAACGCTGCCTGGAAAGCTGCCCGGTTTTGAAGTGCAGTGTCTCAAGGTGCACCTTGGCCACATCAGAGGCATCCTGACCTTCCTGATGCCCTTGAGAGCTCCCTTGGCCTTTTGGAGCATCGTAGGTACTAAGCACCTTAGATACCCCCGTTAAAAATGCTCCGCCTGTTCATCACCGCCCACTCCTCTCCTACCTTTGACAGCAAAAAACCCCTCTTTCACCTTTGATGGCAAAAATTTATCAACTTGGGCAAATTTGTGGGAATACAAACACTATCACGGTGGGAACAGGTTTTTCCATCCCACAAAATTTTATCTTTTCCCCACCTCAAGGAACAATTTAGGTATTTGCAAAACACGCGAGAAATGCTAATACTCTTTCTTAAATCGGGTGCTTCCATCTCTCCAAAGACAGCACCCGGAGCTGTAGTTCTTCCCTGATTTTTTTCACAGATTCACAGCAGCCCACAATGATTAAGCAGAGCAAACCACCCTCATCCTTAACTAATTCCATGCAGTAACAAGTCTGCACTACAAGCCGCTTTTCAGAGTCCTACCATAGGGCCGGGTAATCCTGGGGGTCCGGGCTCAGGTATGATCTGCAGAAGGGAATTAAACAGCACATTAATGGGGCTGGACACAGAGAGAGGACAGTTTGGGAACAGAAACCTCACATGCCCCAGAATCATGATTTAATGCCCTCTGATTGAATAGCTTTAATCAAAATATCTGCTAATCAAAGAGTTGCTTGTAGGATTTATAAATAAATGAATCTTAATAAGTACATGAATCAAGCTAGCCTCTGAAATGAGAGGCATGACCCATGCTACTCAGTGTATTTGCCAGTTGCAAAATGGGTGTAATGGAAAACGATGCAAATTTCTGCACAGATAAGAGGAAACCAGCCTTTTTCATTAAAAAAAAAATCCAGAAAAACAGAACAAAATTAAAGCTCTCATTAATAAAAAACTAGCAACAATGATCACTTTTTTTTTTTTATGCAAAAGATAGGGAAAGAAGGACACAGAAATCCTATAGAACAGCAAAGAGCCTAATATGTTTTTAGAACAAAACATAATTAATTATAAAAGCAGCATGGAATGTCTCAACCATCAATGCAAAGTCTAAAGTAACTTTGTCATGACAAGTGTGCAAATTGTTCTGCCCTAACAAATAAACCCCAGAAGTTCTTGCAGAAAACAGTTAGGCTTTGGTCCCCTCTGCTACGTGGCTGGATACGGAACCAGCAGCTCCAGCCTGCACACCCTCATTTCGCCTGACCCTGTGTCGTGGAAGGGGCTTTATGTTGCCAAGATCTTACATGATTATTCTGCAAACACGGTGACCCAGTGTCTCCTTTTTCTCCTTTGTCTCCTTTTGGCCCTTCTGCTCCCTAAAAGATAAAAATGTAATGCTGATGTGCATCTTCCAGAGAAGCAAAAACAAGAGAAGAAAAATAGATTTGTCTTCCTCTAAACTCCAGCCTTGGCTCAAGCAAAGCTCATGTTTATTCCCAGGGGACTTTGAGAAAAATATCTTCTCCTTGCTACCAGCTAAGATCACCTTCTGAATAAGCTGTTATCACCATCATTAGCAAGGAAATTCAAAGCTCGTGCATCCTCCAATAATGCAGTGTGGACAGGCCATTGCTTAAATCAGCAAACCTGGCCATATTCTGAGCATTTGCAGAAATCAATACATTAAAGAACCAAGCAGCAGATGTAAAGGGTCAGAAAGAGGGACGTACCGGTGGACCCGCTAAGCCCATTTCTCCCGTCTCTCCTTTCTGTCCTGCGATCCCTGTGCTGCCCTGGTCACCCTTTGCTCCTTTGGGACCCTGGAAGTTTACAGAAAACAACTTGCTTAAGAGAAAACTGTTAACCCCCACACACCCCAAGAGCCATTTCTGCCTTTCCGCTGTTTCTCTTCATATTGTAGCACAAGCTTACAAAAACATGTTTGAACATAAAAACTTACACATGCCAATTTTGTGGGCGCAACAGAACTTGGCTGGGCCGTAGCAGGGATTGCAGTCATTTAGGGTTGGGAAGGTTTATGACAAAATTTGAGATAATGTCTGATGAACCACTCATAAAAGGAGCCCCTTTAACTCGGCAGACATGGCCGTGAGCAGCATCTGCATGCTCATGGCTGAGCGTGGGGCCATAGGCAAAGGGTGATTAATTCAGGGAGATGCAGCTGAACATTACGGCACAGCGCTTGTTCCTTCAGGCTGAGATTTGCTTTTCACAGCAACAGCTCGCACAGACACACAAGTGAAGTTTTTAACTCGGCTCCTGCAAGGTCTCTCTTGATCCGGCCATGCCCCACATACCTTTTCACCATCCAGTCCAGGTGGACCCGGCAAGCCCAGCTCTCCCTGAAGCGACATAAAGAGGAGCCCATGGTAAATTAAATCAGGAAATAATATTGGGAAAGCATTTTGCAAGGATACAGGTTATTCGTGTGTACCACCTGTGGTTACGGGTTTGCCATTGCCAGGCTCAAGAGCAGCAGCAAGGAGGTTTCAGTGATGTGCCAGCCATTACTGACTCATCTAAAATTGGGTGACAAGGAGACCTCAAGAGGCACCAAAATCCTGCCCCATCTCGTTCTGCCGAGAGACACTTTTCTGTAGGTTAAATTCTTACAGAAACTACAGCTGACTGTAGGCTACTGGGTATTTCTCGGGAAGCGGGAGGACGGAGCAGTCCCGCTCGGACACGGAGTGGGGGCAGCAAGAGGCACACGGGGAGGGTGGGGTGGAGGGTGGCTCGGCACAGCTTTTGGGACTGCCGGCCCCCCTGCACAACTGCTGCTCCCATTTGCATCCGCCGCCTGCCACACGCAATGAGGAACTCTCGGAGGGGCTGGGATTTCACCTGTCAGGTATGGGATTAGGAGCAGATTTGTTTCTGGGACAGCATCCTTCAGAAGAGGCTGGAGACCAGAGACAGGTCAACAAAACCTTGACTTTCATATGAAGACCTCCTTTTTCAGCCTGAGAAAGCATTAAATAGCATTTCCTTTACCATGTGTAGTCTCGAGCCTCACAGCCTGCCTTATTTTGGCTTGGGAGACGCTTGCTACATGGAGAGCTGCTAATGACCATGTCGCTCTCTAGGAAACACCATCTGCATGGCAGAGGTGGGGCTCACCTTGGGACCTGGAGCGCCTTGGGGGCCTGGTGGCCCTGGGGGACCCGGCGAACCCTGAAACACAGCAAACAAACCAGGCACAAGCATGACTAATATGAGTATGGCACAACACCCTCATGCTGCTGGGGATGAGCTGGGAGCAGCTCCCAACCGCGATCTACAGCAGCCACTCGTGTGCCCGGGGTTGCCCAAACACCACGATGAGCTCAGCCGACACAAAGTGATGCGAAGGCCCCTCCAGCACAGGGAATGTTCAGGCAAAATAAAACAGAGCTGGCGCTAGCTGGGAGTAGAGGTGCAGCAGTGTGTGTGTGAAGAGGCAAAATGCCTTTTGCCAGAGGTGTGACCCCAAATCTGGTGGTTTCTTTTTGCATTCTCCCCACTCCAGCAAGCCGGCTTGGGGAGAAGCATCCTGCTGAAAACAGTGACAATCAGGTGAGGAGGTGCAAATAAAGAGGGGAGACGGCAGGGTTTGTGTGAGCACTAACAGCAGGAAATCCTTGCACACTTAAATAAGCTATTTTTCCTGGGCCCTGCTGGGTGCAGAGATCATGAACCGCCTTGAGATGACCAAATATTTCACAACTTGCAAATTATCTCAACAGCAAAACTCATGGTCTTGCAGAGCTGAGAACCAAAACCGTATTATATTCTCAAGCACCTTTTTCCATGAGTGCATGCTCAAATGCTATTACATTTAATCACTCTGGAAGCTGTGGGAAGCCACCCCTTTCCAAAGCCCTGTCCATGGGGCAGGTCAGTGCACAAACACCGAAAGCAGCTGATAAGCAGGAAAATGACAAAGTTAGCAAGGTTCAATGACGTGCCCCTCGGCAATCTCCGCATGCAGCACACGGGACAAGGTTTGGGCCCAACAGATGAAGCCTCCAGACATTTAATGGAGCCCCTCCAACCACTGCACTCCACCAACTCCACTCACAAAGCTGCATGCCGTGCAGACATCTGGCAAACGGTAATTACCATCACTTTGTGTATCCCTGCAGCCTGTTATAAAACAATTAGGATGGTCCTCAAATGTGTCTGTAATTAAGGATTTATTCTATTTGGCTTCTTTTATCTTAATGAAAATGGCAGGGCACTGCTGGGTTGGGCAGGTTAGGGCTTGGGCACCGTTTTCCTTCCTCCCGCACCCCGACTGCTGCTTGCAGAGAAAACGGCTCCAGAGGATGTGCAGTGAAAACCGCGGCTCCGCACCGTGCCGTGGGAATAACGCCCCGCGGCCAGCAGTGTTTAACCTGTAGTTTGGCTGCTCACACTCGTTGCATCAGCTGTTTCTATGTTAAGGGCTGCACCAGGTTGCTTTTACCTGCGGAATATTAACTCACGGCTGGATCCCACAAGCCTGGTACCCACCTTGAATTCCCAGCCTTGAGTTTTGCCACTGTTTTTGCGGGTACATCCTAAATATCCTCAGCTCCCAGAGCTCTTCTCTCCTGGCGAGCTCTGTGATGAGACTGAGATCTCGGGAAGGAGAGGTAGGACAGGGACAGACACGGTGCCACGTCACCATGGCTGAGCTCAGCAGTTTTTCAGTCCTTTCCCATTGACCCACACAATCAGTGTGGCCTTGGTGCGGGGCTTACCTTGAGTGCATCCAGGATTCGGCCGTCATAGTCGATCACCACAGTGTCACCCTGTTCCCCTTTCAGGCCGGGGGGACCCTGCAACCAGGGACAAATCCTATTTAGCTTTTGCAGCATCTGAGAAGCATGTGGTATGAAAGCAAAGACCTGACACCCAGGGGTTTGGGGATTATCACCTTACAAACACCATCAATTTAATCAATTCCTAGACTGACAGCTGTAACTGTCACCCAACCAAACCCCAAAAGGGCCTAAATTTGTGTAACAGAGAAGCGCCTAGAAATCCTCACTTGATTATGCTGTTTCACAGCTTCCCTCTTGCAAAAAAAGGGTCACAGGATGGTCATGCTGATAAAATTAGACTTGACTGCATTTCCCAGAGCTATCTCCTGTGGCAGCAATCGGTACCTACATAATGACTTGTTTAAATATGCACCATCTCTATTTTCTGATCCCGAGGTGATTCAACCACATACTAAGCAGAAAGAAGTAGTGGGGAACAGCTCAGGTCAAGGCAAATACACTACTCCAAACTGAAAAAGCAAAACCCTGAGCATCCATACCCGAGGTCCAATGGAGCCAATTCCTCCCTTCTCGCCAGGTTCACCCTGAAAAATCAAAATCACATTTTTGGTTCAAAGAGACCAAGGAAAATACAGGATATTTATCTTAAAAATGCTCTAACTACACGAGATGCCAAGTTGTTTTAGATTAAGAAAAAGTATGGCACCAATGAGGAGCTGCTTCTCCTAGCAAAAAGATAGATTTGACTTCAGAGCAAATATATTTTGCAAAAAATAATGTCGGCGTGAGCTAGTTGCCAGTAAGAAAATGTCTCATCACCGAGGGAGCGGAGCGGCCCGCTCGGGGCTGAGCTCCCCATAGCGGCGATGTGCCGTGCCGCTCTCCGGCTCCGCGCTCTGCTCCGGGCGTGCCAAGCGCCAGCTCTTGCTGCTGAAGTGGCTCTCTCTTTGCTTTAGGCTGAATTTTGTGTGTGGAAAATTACAGCCAACATATTTAAACCATTTTCGAGGGCGAGTTTAAGAAAAGGCTGTGTCAAATTTTTCCTACTTTCCCTTCCCTCCCCCCTGGCTTTTTTTTTTTTTTTTTTTGAAAGTTGGGAGATTTTGGAAAGCTGTAGCACACTCCCAGCAGTGATATGAAATTCAGTTCAGGATTCAAAAAAACATACGTTTTGCCATACCCTGGAAATCTATTTGGTGGCCAAAACAAAGCCCTCCAAAAAGTAAAAAAAAAAAATTATATAAGCGCAAAGACTGTCCATAGGAAAACTCAGTTCAGCAGATCCCAGGAGGGAAAAGCCAGCACTGCTACTACAGTTTTAGAAAAAAAAGAAAATGGCTTAAGGGTCACCTGAGCCTATGTTTCTTCATCGTATACAGTTTCTAGCTAAACAAGGAGCCACGGCTGTTTCATATAGAAAACACGACTGGATACAGAACCTACGAAATAAGAAGCAGCTGAGCGGGGAAATAACAACCCATGAACGCTGTCCGGGTCTCATCATCACCACTTAACATATCAAGAATGTCTTATTGCATTTCTTGGCAGTTATGAAGGTCAGTGGAACAGGACGGCACACAAGTGCTCTGGGCTTTGAAGCGATACCGCTGCCGTCAATACATCAGATCAAAATGTGATCAGAGGTTTAGCTCTCTTGGGGAAAAAGAGGCAATTCAATGAACAACCTGCAAGGAGACTAATTTTAAAAAATCTTATAGGGATCTCTGCTGGAATCCAGCTTTCATTAAATCACCAGGAAAAGGTAAAATACTTCTCAACATCCCTCTGTTTTGTTTCAGTTTGGGCATTTTATGAGCCTTTTAGAAGGCAAAGGCCTAAAACACCTACTCAGCTAAAACCCTGTGCCTCAAGAGCGCTGTGCCCAGCCTCCCAGCTAATGGCCTTTTATTTACCTTGGGTCCTGGCAAGCCATCTGTGCCGTTCTCTCCCTTGGGACCTATGCTTCCTTTTTCTCCCTGAAAGCATGACAATTTAGACAAATGCTATACGGGTAGGATGGAAAGCAGGTTTCTTTAGGTTAGAATTTTCTTGCTTTATCTTTAATTTTACATACATGAGTGAGCAAAGCTCTGTTTTTAACCTGAAATATGTCACGTTGCCTAGGTGCAAAAGGGCAGTATTTGAGATAAAAATGAAGCTTTCAGGCTTAACAGTTTGGGTGGCGTGTTCAGCCACAAAGTTAGCCCAAAAACCACAGGAGAGCCCAGCTGCACCCTGATCTGGGCAGTGCAAACCCATATCCTGAATCCCAGCTCTGCACCATCCCCAGCAACATTCCCCAATTTACTTCTGCAAGAGGAGTCTCTAAACAGCAATTCTCTGCCATAGTCAACAAGCTGCATTTGCAAACTTCTGGGTAGAGCTACTGTGGCAGAGGGGTGGGTTATGCTTCTCTTCCTCTCTCTTTTTTTTTTTTTTTTTTTTTTTTTTTTGTTCTTTTTCCATGTCAGAGGAGAAATGTGCTTCTCAACGTGCCCCAACTACAATACTGTGCCAAGAAACCAGATACCAAAAGATGCTGCCAAGCACATACATTAGATGGGCACAGAGCAGAACATACCTTAGGGCCCATAAGTCCTGGTTGCCCAGGGATCCCATCATCACCCTGATGAAAGAAAATACAGAATGTAAAATACAGAGAGCTTGTACACACTTATCATTAGGATCCAACATATCATTTGACCCCACTGAGTGTTGCACAGACCTCAGACCCACTCAGGTTTGAAAGAGCCCAGGAAGCTCCAGTGTGGTCCCCTGCTCCCACCCAGCTCTGCCTCTGCCTCCCCTGCTCCTGGGAAAGGTGGACAGGCATCTCCCTGAATTAGCCTACAGCAGGCGCTGGGGAAGGTGCTCTCCCACCTTTAAAAGAAATTAGATATTTAATCCATTTAGGTTTTTTGGGTCCCAAAGACCTCCTGCAAGCTGCCACCCATCCTCATAGACTCCATCACAAGTCACCAGTGTGCCCATCTGCTGGGAGGAGATCTTGTTTCACTTGTCATTCCTCGTTGTTCAGCGCTTCGTAGGCGCTGAATAGGTTCATTATGAAAATTTTTTAAGTCAAATTCTGGCCTGAAAAAAACCCATGGCTATGTCTGTTTTGGGGCAAAGCAGTAAGAGGGAAAGGCTGGGTCCTGTCAGTGCTTTGGCTTTAGCTAAAGCCAATGATTTATCCGCTACTTGGTGGCACCACCAAAAGAAAACATGGGGAGCTCAGACACGTGAATCTCCCGCAGTCTTCAATGCCCGACACAAGCAGTGTGCCTGTCCTTAAGGGAGGGAGCAATCCCCACGAGACCGAGGTGCTGTGCAGTGACGTCCGTCCCAGGAACCTCAAACCCATCCCAAGGGCCCCTGGGCAGAAAGAAGCCTCCAGGCGCTTCTCGATTCAGCTTAAATTATTGCAGCGAAAGGGCTCAAGACCTACTGCTTTGTTTGGCATTTGCTAATTTATTCTTTGTCTATTGGGAAGATGTGATTGCAGCTTCTGGCTTGCTTGTGGAAATGAAAACCAGGCTGCAGTCACAGCTGTGGCCATGCTCTGGGGTCGCATGGGCAAGAAATGCCAGGGAGCACAAGGAAGGGCTTGGTATGGACAGCCATCACCATGGCTTCTTCATCCTTCAAACCTCTGGCAACGGTTTCCCTAGCTGAGCACTGAGCAAAGCAAAGAGAAAAAAAAAAAAAAAAAAGAAAATCACCAAATCACCATTTTACCTTTTTCCCTTGGATGCCAGGCTCACCCTTCAACAGCAGAGGAGAAAGTAGTTTAGGGACATAACAAAAAATAAGAACAATTGTATGGATAGTCAAAATTAATTGTAAAATTAAAATACTTGGCTCACGTTGATCATTTTTACTCCCGTCAAAATGCAAGAAAGCACATTCCCACAGAACACCAGCTTCCAGTCCCCCATGGCTCCCTCCACCCCCACTTCAAAGTTTTAACATGGGCAATGGTTGTAACACTGAGTAGACAAATTCACACATTTGCACCTCCAAGTCAATGGCTAATGCGAAACCTTAGAAATTTTGTATCTGATACGTATAGATGAGTGCAAGTGCAATGCAAAATACATATATTCATCTCCACTCCCCTTACGCAGCAATATTTCAAGAATTTGTGTTAAAATTAGACAGATACGAAATTACTTATCACCCACCTTTGGTCCTGGAGGTCCCCTGACACCCTGTTGAATGTAAGAGTAGATGGTGTACTTGTTTGACAGTAGAGTACAACAGGATAAAAACATTTCCAAGGGTACTTTAATTCCCATGAGAAAAAAAATGACACAGATGCCAGCTTCTCCTCTTCCCTTACAAATACAGCTGTAAGTTCTCTGTGCTCCCGGTAAATAATAAATATTCTTCTATGGTTTGTGTATTTTATGTATAAGCAGCACCTTTTTATCCAACCTAGACCTTAGTTGGTCAGAGTTACAATGCCAGGAGGCTTCAGAGGCGCAGAAGTGGGGACACAGGAGCAGCACATCGCTCCAGAGGAGCCAAGGAAACAACGACTGACCTCTCGGCTCCCCAGGGCACAGGTACCCTGGGACAAACATCCATTTTAGGGCATCTATCATTTCCCACGGGATTTTTTTGGCCTCCATAAGCAACAACACAAAACCACTTGCTGCAACGATCTGAAGGGTGATGTAAAGTGTGGGGGGCACGGATGCTGCTGGGCAATACTAACCACGAGGCCGTCCTCTCCCGGCTCGCCTTTGAAACCCTGTAAAAATAAAAATGCCAACATTGAAATTATTACCTCTCATTTTCCAAAATGCTCAGCGATAATTAGAATGTTCAACAGCATTGAATTTTAGCCTATTTTTTTATTAAATAAATTGCCAATGATCTAGATATTTGCAACAGGTCATCTGAAGGCTACAGATGAGGGAAGAGAACTCCTCTGGGCCCTCTGAGGTACAACCAGCACACACAAATTCTTGCTCCAGGACCAGCTGTTTGCTCCAAAACTGAAGATGGAAGGTCCCCTGCTGCTCCCGTGGCCCCAAGCCCCAAAGCTTTGCTGTATGAGCAGTGATCAGGGCCCAACTGCTGGCTCAGGCTGGGGACCCAGTGGATGGGGTGGCAGCACTGGGAAAGGAGACACCCCTTCACCCTCCTCTCCCTCTCTGGGGTGGGAACTGCCCGACATGTGCTCGCTGTGCATCTCCCGTCCTTACAGGGGGGCCTGAAGGTCCTCTTGGGCCATCTTTTCCCGTGTCACCAGGAGGCCCCCGGGCACCTGGGGGTCCTGGTGGACCAGGGGGGCCAGTGGCTCCATCTCGACCTTGATCGCCCTGGAAGAAGTTCACACAGACATGGTGAGATGAAGTGATGTTGGCAAGCGGTGGCCGTGGGGTGCCCACAACACATGCACTGCATCCCTGGGCCATCAGCATCCTGGCCTTCACTGTCCTAATAAAATTTAATTACAGCTGCCAGTTGGGGAGGCTGGGAGCTCAAGGCTGCTTCACGCCCCTTGGGTCTGGTTCTTTAACCAGGATTTTGCTCAATGCCTTCCAGTGAGGTTTTATCTCATTAAGCCCTTGCTCAGCAACTGTCTGCATGGATAACACCAGTTCAACAGTACCCAGAAATAACCCAGACCCAGCAGCATGCTGGCACAGAGCATGCACACACTTCCATAGCTTAGTGGACCACAACAAAAAACCCACAAAAAAAAAAAGTAGCGCTCAGTAGTATCCTTTAAATACAGCCAAGGTCATGCGTTAACATCCAGTGTAGCTCACACTCAATGCTGCTTGGATGCAAAGAAAAAAGCAGCAGCTCTATCTCCATGTGATCGTGAAGGTTTGGTAGGTGCCCACTCTGGAGGGGAGCACCCTGTGGGGCTCCACCACCCAGTTATCAACTCCCGACCCCCCACTGGCACCCACCACCCAGCCCCAGGGCTGTGGCCGGGCACATCCATGCGGCTACACAATGGAAATCCTCATGGAAAGGCCATCTCATAAATCTTTTAGCAACATCTGGAAGGGTTACCACCGAGGCGGTACGAGGACTGTATTTAATATGTGGTCCACCCTCAAATCAGGGACAAGTGTGGGATATTTCAGAAGTCCTTAAGTGACTTAGCAGCACAAGTCCCACGGCCTTTCAACAAGATCTGTGTTCCTAAATCACTTGCATAGTTTTTAAAAAAATCCTATTGCAAATGCTGAACACTGCTTCCAATTATGTCAAGTCAAGAGTCTCCCACTGAATTTTGCCTAATTAAAACATCACGTTTAGAATACATGGATTCAGACAGCCCTAGTTTTAATGCATTTTATTTTACAATACCAGCGCTGTTCATATGAACATTTATTGGACTCTGCTGCTTGATCCCCACTTCCCACAAGTGGCCAAATTCTAATACCCATCACTTTCCTGTTTCCTTTGAAAAAACTCCCCCTAAATTCCAATGGGGTTTCCCTCAAGCATGCTCCCAACAAGCACCTCTGAACACAGCCACAATAGTGACAATTTAAAATAGCAACAGCGCACTATCAGCCAGAAAGAAGAAACAAAAGCAACTCAAAGAACCACAGCAAACCAGGAGCAGCAGATCTGCTATGTCTACCTTGAGCACTCGTCGGCTAAAGACAAGCTGATCGTTAGCCAGAAATCCATGATTGAGGTGGGGAAAAACCATCTAGCCAGGTAAAGTGGGAGGCAGAGGAGGAAAGAGCAAGAATTTAAGATGAAAGCACAGCAGAAGAATGAGTTTTAAAGGCCGTAACAATATACAACAATTTTTCTTTGATAATTAATTGATGCATGAGGAGGAAATAATCTACGTAGCCAACAGTGGTTGTTTTAACATTCTGGATACACTGGAGCTTGGTAAGCAGTAAACAGACAAAGGGAAACAAGTATCTTTTCATTAGTTTACTGCACAATAGGACATTCAAAGCAGCTGGAGTACAGAGGATTCCCCTACTGCAGGGCTTTCTGCAGAATAAAGAGCATTATTCCAGTAAACCCCACAGGGGATATATTCTAGCATTTCTCCTGAGACCAAATATTATATTTTTTTTCAGAGGCTAAAATGAACACTGATGTACTCCCCAGCCTGCAAAATGCAGATAAATCTCTCAGATTTATATGATGCAAAAACAATGTATTCAGACCATGTCAGTAGTCATTGCTATTGTCTTTTAGCCTTTTCACTTATCTATCTAGGGAGAAGCAGGAAGACATTTTCTTTCTCAGGATACTGCTTGCATCTCCCTTTCCCCCATCCATCCCTGCAAACATCTGTAGGAGGACCAAAGGGATGGAGCAAAGCCATGAGAAACCCCACAGAAAGACACATGAGGGTTTTGGAAGATTTCTAAGGAAAAAACCTCTTGTCCAAATTGCCCAGGGAGCTTTTAAACCTTTCACACAAATAACAAGTAAACCCAAACCTCAATTTTGGGGTAAATATTACATAGGCAATCCCATCTCCTGCCCAGCCTCCCAGGATAGGCTTAGCAGCAGGCGTGCACTGGTACATCAAGCACAGATGTTCCAGCAGTCATCTCAGAAAGGGAGGGGAAAAGCAAAGTCAGATAGAAAAAAAATAGTCAATCCTGGAAAATAAACCCCTCCCAAGGATTTTTTTTTCAAGCTGTAGAGAGAGGCTTTAGCTCAGTCCTCACTTAAATACAGGCATTTTGGGGAGGAACAACACTGAAATCCTGAGATTTTAAGAACCCAAGATGATGCCACCTTGAAATTCATGAGAACACAGAGCCCTTGTGCTTGGCCAGGCCCTCCAGACACCACCGAAAAGGCTCTACCGAGAGCAAATGGGTTTGTGGTAGACAGAAAGGACCTAGTTTTATGCCTTCTTATGTGCATGAAGATACGCAAGAGCATTGAGTGAGATTTCAGAAAAGCCCAAAGAGCCAGATCAGAACTGAAACTTTTTTCTTATCCCACAGATTGCTGAGCACCATCCAGGTAAACACCTTCCAAGCCCAGTTTTAATGTGAAATGACAATTTGCATTTGCTCCAAGGCCAATCACACCATATCCCACCAAATCCAGCCATCACACATTTAATTTTAAACAATCCCTGTTACAGATGGGCCTAGGAAAGGTGAACAGCCCTGAGGGCTATTAAATACAGAGACGCTGTCTTTGGCCCAAGAAATGTCCGGGCCATAGATAACCAGGCTCCAGGAGAGCAGTTCTGTGATGGAGTTACATGTTCCTGCTCCATGTTTACACTCTCCCAGTGCACGTGGTCACAGGGCACTGGGCTAACTGGCCACTGGGTCTGACCCTGTGTAGCAATGGAGTCTTAGAGCACAGAAACATTGAATACTGGAAATTTCTAGCTTTAGAGTACTCGATTTAGCCATTTCAACATAATATTCCAAACGAAGCAAATAAATAAAATAAAATAAAAAAGAAGTATCCATAGGCATGTCTGTTGACTGTTGCTGTGAGCTCTGCAGGATGCTTTCTGTGCTGAGCTTTTATCTGCAATGTGAGCTTGAGAAGCACTCATATTTTTGCAGAAAGTAAGAGAGAAAAAGCTACTTTTCTGTCTGCAGCCTAGACTCCAGCCTGTCGCTATAGAGCCAGTTCAGTCACACCAGTGTTTAGTCCCACAGCACCTCAGGACACAGCTACAGATGTTACTGGTGCCATTTCCATCAGCACTGGCTGTTGAGCAGGAGCATGCTGCATGAGCTGCTGGAGACAAGAGCATTTCTCTCACATGCTGAAGCCCCTTTTCTCCCCCTTGAAAGCAAACCCAGCGCTGCTGCCACACACGCTGTGCATCCGCTAGCCCAGATGTGCAAAGATTCATCAATTCCATCATTTGTCTAAACATCTGAACTGTCAGTAAGAACAAGATCACCCAAGCTAAGGTAATAAATCCAGAATGATCATGCCAGTGCCAGCTCAGAAAGCGAGTCTGGCTTATGAAAACGGTCCTTTTCAGAGGTGTAGTGATATATTTGATTTTAAGAGAAGTATAAGCACAAATATCAGGGCACAGCAGTTCCAGCCTTGGTAGCATCCCGTTTCTGACTCCCTCTCTCTTCCCCAGATCAGAGGGAATCTGTTCTTGGTGTCTCCCTGTAAATACACTTTATATACATTTTGTCAGAATATTTGAGTATGTTTATTCTCCGTCCTGGTTAGGTGAGGCTGCACAACAGCCTCCCTGATGCAGTTTGCAAGAACTAGCATTCAGTACCTAGGACAAACTGATGTGAACTTTTTCCTCAGCTTTCCAAAAATCACCCTCCAGCATCTACGTTAAGCACACTCATACGTGCAACAATCTCTTCTTTGTCCATGCTGGTGGCAGGTGTTTATTAGAGACAGAAAGAGGAGCAGTGCAAACAAAAACATATTCAATAACCAATCCCCGACGGCCTTCATCGTACTTCCACTGCAGACAGTCCCTCCAAAGCCACCCCAAGCATTACTCTCTTTTAATCTACCATTCCTAATGATAATATTTTTGCACTCACTGACACACACTATCCCCACTCCACCGTTCATAGACACGCACATTTATGAGGGAGGCAGCACTGTATATATTCCTAGTTATTAATCCTTCCGTTGATGCTATGATTTGCTGCGACATGCCTTTCAAAATCAGCTAAACAAAGCCACTGCTGAAACTTGAGGAAGAAGATAGATTAAATTAGGAAATGAAAACCAATCCAGGCCAGATGGTATTAAGAAGTTTTGTATCCAATCCACAACCCCGAGTGTCTGGAGACATAAAGGAAGCTATTTTCAAAGCCAGACACCAGTTGCTAGACCTGCTTGTGCATGGCTCTGCCAGGCCTGTTTCTTCCCCTTTCCTCCCAAATTGTTTCTGAGCCTTTTTCTTACTCTTGTGCAAAAAGACATAAATAAATCTAGAAGTAAAGCAAAATCTGGACAAATGCAGATCAGGAGAAAAAAAAAAAAAAGCACATATTTTTTTCAGTAGATTAAAACCTAGGATAAGTGTTACCTTGGGAGCTGGCACCCGCCCCTGTGAGTCGAGGCAGAGCCCATCCCCAGACCATTTCCCGCAGCGCAAACAGGAGCCGTGGCAGGAGTTGGGTTCCCGTGTTATTCAGCAGCACAGACCTTCGCCAGCTCATGACCTTTGGAGGCTGAGCAGCATCTCCTCTGGCATCGCCTGAGTTGTCAGCCCTGCAGTCATCCACAGCTCCGTCCAAGGAGTGAAAACTCATGCTCATGTGCTGCTGAATCACCCCTTAAAGCCTTTTCTGAGTACGTGGGTGGGCACTTAGACAAAGTTGAGACCTTATGCTGAGGCCTTCCTTAGTCACACAGGGCATAAATCCATCAGAGAAATTTTAGGGGCTCTCAGAGCCCGAGGGTGACATTTCTGAAGGCACCCAAGGTGGTTGGAAACTGCTTCAGAAAATGACACCAACTTCAAAAACTGACTTAGCCTTCAGGGGAAAAAAGAAAAATGACTCCAAGGCATCTCTCTCCAGTGTAGCCAGAGGCCCTGGCTACATTTCCAACACCCGCGTCTAAACCAACCAGCCGACTCTCGGGTGCCAGCTCCAAATCCAGCCTCTGCACGGAGCCCGTATGCCACCTTCCCCGCACATCCCCACCGTGGGGTTTCCAGCAGGTGCCCATAACCCATGGCCAACCGCACCTCCGTTACTGGGATGGAGCCCACCTCGGAAATGCCACACACACTGTAGTGAGTCCTCCCATCTCATCCCCATCTCGGGAGGCTTCGTGCTCCTGCCGCTTTTGCCAACACCACAGCGGGGACCGTGGGACAGCCATGTCCCCCTTGCGCCCCGTGGGGACCTATCCTGGTGCACTGCAGTAAATCTCAACTTCATGTAACCCCACAAGAGCCATTTCCACAAAACTCTATTAGTTTCTGTATGTTATAGCCAAAACAGTTTCCCCTCATCATACAGTTACTTTAAACCCTTTATTTTCAAAGGTAGCCTGATGTTGCCTGTGTGCCATCACGCTCCCAGGTGGGTAGCTCAGCAAGACAGGAGAAACTTTCCACCCTGCACAACACTGTGCTGGGACATCAGGTCTTCCCGCTACATACTGGTGCTCTAATGCCAATAAATAAGGAGCATAGCTTCAAGGGAAACATGGTGTCTGACACTGGAAGAGGGAATTTGAGATAGGGAAGTCCAATAAGCGTACCTGAGGGTCTTCAACTCCTGTTTCCCCATGGTCAAAGTTAGGAAAACCACCACCATAAAGAGCTCTGATGGTAAAATTAAACACTTCCAGAACTGTGAACCATACCTCATCTTGCAGCAACAAAGCTACACGAAGTCTTACTTTGTGGGGAGGTTAAACACAACCAGATTTTAGAATAAATCAACTTGCTGTGTCACTACTTACCCTTGGGCCGATGTCCCCTGCTTCACCCTGCATGTCAGGCAAAACAGCAAGGGTCAACTATTAGAGTTCAAATTTCAACCATGAAGGACTGAGCGTAGGGTCAAGCTGGATGTGGGAATGGCACACAAGGGAAGTGGCAAGAGTCCTATTGCTTAACATATTCAAAACCGGGGAGGAGAAAGACTGGAGACAACACAATAGGGAATGATTCTGCCCTGGCAGGCAATGAAACAGATAATAAATCAGAAATAGCGGATTGTTTCCAACTCTTAAGGCTCCCCTAGCAACTACTTATGTCCTACACATGCGAGAATTAACATCACTTACAGTACAGTAATGACCTTCTTTGGCTGCTCTAAATTCATGGGAGGATGTCATGCAAACACAGAGCAATGGAGCCCACAGCCTTGCTCTTGGAGGAAGGCAAGAAGAGAGCTGTATGTCACTCACCTAACCCTTAAGGGGTTACCAAGAACCCTACGGCATGGATGAGCTTTAAGGCCATACTTATCCCTCCTACATTTTTGCAAATTCTTTCCTCCCTCCCCTTTTCTGGGGCTCCTCCAAGAGCAACCTGAGAACCTGCTGTCATGACTCCCCATCCTGACAAAACCTCGTGGGGTAATGTCATGCTGGTGTATTGGGATAACCTGAACTGAGAGAATTTACAACAGGAAGAGGACATACAACTGCTTCCCCCCAAATGCCACGTGTTAAGGCAGCCTTTACCTTTTCCCCTTTTGGTCCTGGAGGTCCCTGGAAATACAGAAGAAGGATCCAAGTTAAGAAATGGCAGAATCATCCATGGAGATTGTATTCATCAATTCACAAACCTGAGCCACATTTGCTATTATTTTAAGTTAAACATGCTATTATTTTAAACGATACACTGCTTCTCATGAACATCATGCTACTGAAAAACATCAATGAGGTCCTGCCTGCTCTAGCCAGGACAGAGGACTGGAGAAGGACCGGGGCAGAGCAGGCAGTGTGACAGTCGCTTGCAAACACGTGACTCTAAATAGATGCAAGAGATTTCTTGAAGTATTAAATCACTTCTAGAAAAACACATGCTCAGCATATCATTACAACAATTATACATCTGTTTGAAATAAACAAGGAGGATGGGCTGCTTTCCTTGGCCTATTTGCTGAAGACATAAGTCATCTTCCCTCTAAGCAGCTTTCTGTAAGACAGGCAGGCAGAGACACACTGTAGCCCCAAAGAGAAGTCACAAGCCAACGTTTTGATGTGCCTGCTCTGCATCCTTCTAGCACAGAAAGATTCTGAATCTTAGGGTTCAGCCCAATTCACGGTATTTGCCGAAGCAGGACCTGGTGGGCTGCAGTGGGGGAAGGTCAACAGAGGCCGACAGTGGCAGCATCTGCATCCCCGTGCTGCATCCCTCCCACTGTTAATTTGGCTCTAAGCAAGGCTGCTTTGAATGGTCTGGTTTGAGTTTGGCTGTTTGATAAGTTTGCTTTTTTGTTGAGATTTTTCCCAGTCTCGCTCCTGCCTGGTGCACACACACCTCGCAGACATTCGCATCCATGTGTCTCCCAAGGGCTGCGGGCGCAGGACCGTGCTGCTGGGGTTTGCACTGCTTTTCCATCATGGGGTTTTGCCAAATCAAAGCCAAGCCCCAAGCACAGGGACGCGAGTTAGATTCCTTTTTTCTTTTCTAACACTTTATTTCTAGATTTCTTTTTGCTCACATTTGTCATCTTCAGCGGTAGGATAGAAAACAACCACAGCAATGTACAGCTCTAACAAAACACTCCCTAACTGGCTAGAAATAAGTATCTGAGTAATTTTTCGATTGTAAAGACTGAATGACTTCTGCCCACTTTGCAAATCACAGTTGGTTTAGGACCAGAGCTTGAAAAGATTTCAAATGGTGCCCTCTAGTGAAGGTGGTGGCAGAGAGTGGGATTTGGACACAAAATAGAGCTTCAACCTCCTGTTGCAACCATCCAGGCGAAGGAATTGGAGCTGGCTAGTGTTCAGCCAGTATAAAAATAAAAAAAAAAAAAAATCTGTGTTTCTGTAGAGTAAGTAAAGAGTGGAGCACCTGAGTATCTAAAGGGCTTCCAAGCAAAAATGAAGCCAAGAAATCAGCTCATAAAATGAAGTCCAAGCTCTTCCACAAAGTATTGCGTGGACACTGGGCACTCTCAAGCAGTTCCCACCTGGGCTCCTTTGGAGGCAAATGAACCCAGTTTGGGAGCAATTATTTTTATGATACCACTTTGTAGTGCCTGGAGCATGCAACCAAGATTACCTTCTTTGCTTCTTCCAAGGTGCTACTGGAGTTTATTTCCCAAATTTGGCCTGCCACCCGTCTGCAAATCTCCCCTAGCTGAGCTGGCGCAGGAGTGGGAGAAGCAGCCGAAATGAGCTGACAAATAAAGAAAAGCTCACCTCTAGCTGCGCCAGCTAGCCATGGCTCAGAATTTAAACTTACACGTGTTACAGACCACAGAATAATTTCCCTAAATACAATTTTGTCTCCTAACCAGTTATATATGTAGCAATAAATGAGTAATAGCTGAGACTGACTATCTATTGCAGAACAGTCTGAATAAAGACATGTTATGTTTGGCACTCAGTGCTACTTACTGGTTTGCCATCCAAACCAAGAGGCCCCTGTAAAGAGAAGGAAAAGACAGTATTATTTTAAACAACAACAAAAAAAATCAATTTACAAACATAACAATATCAGTCATGCTCTGAAAGATGCTCTACTTACGTATAGTACAATCTTTGGCTATGTCACTTATATACCTAATCCTTCATCCGTGCAATGCAGCAGGAAGGTTTCAGAGAAGTACAGTAAGAGGCAGCAAACAATTTGCAGAGTATGAAGGAGTGTGAAAGGAAGCGACAGGATTAGTGACAGGGATAAGGTGACACTGCTCTGGCACAGCGCTCGGGACTCCCTGAGGTTTTTAAAGACTAAAAGAGCAGCAGTAAAACATGCTTGATTGATTCACATCCACCTCAGATCTGAACTATATGTTTTTGCAAAAGGACTTGCTGAAGCTCTACCATTTTACCCAAGATGTGGGGATCAGCCATCACCCTCAGTCCATAATGGTTCATCTCGCTGATGGGAAGGGGTGTCTTGCTGTGGAGGATGGAAGGGTGTATCTGCCCCACGGGCTGATACCTATGTGCTTTGTTCATCTGCAGTGATACAAAGCTGGAAATGCACTTGTATTTGCACAGACAAGCACTTGGTCACCCCAGTTCTTCCGCAGGTCTCCCCTTTCTAGGGTTGTTGTAGGAGCGCATGGTAAATCAACATGGTAAATGGTTATTTCCCCATCATTTCTAGCATGCAGCCCTTAACTCGTATGAAGCCAGTGAATGTATTGGGCCATAGGAAACCTTGCTTTTGAGAAAGGGTGCATGTGGGGAGAGGAAGCAGGGGTGCTCTAAGGCCCACAGATGAAGCCAAAGCTGCCCTGGCTATCAGCTGGAGCTGGCACACAAGCACTTGAGGATAAAAAGTAGAGTTCAAAACTCAACACTTTCAGGACAACCCAGAACAGGATTTCCACCGATCCACAACCTGCTGCCCGAAAACTTAAAATCTTTCCTCATTTAAACCCAAAGAAGACTCAGCCTTGCAAAGAATTCCTGAATAGACACGGCACGATGACTGCGAGTCAAGCAAAGCCTTCAGACACCTGATTCATTCCCAGATTTCCAAAGCGTGCTCACGTACTTCGCTGGGCAAGGATCCACTCCGGAGGGAGCCACAGGCTGTGCCCAACAGCAGGCACTACGTCCCTGCCCTGTCCCCGTGGCAAAGCCTGACCCAGCGCTGCAGCACTGCTGACTGCTCCTGTGAGCTCAAACCCAGCCCAGCCTTGCTCTCGTCACTGCCTACTGCAAATTCAAGGTTTACGTTTGCAAAACGGTACCTTGGGATCAGCACCCGCTCCCTCCTATGCCCACCCAGCACGGCCACACGTGTGCGGCAATGTGCATCCTCCTGGCACCTTCTGCATATGTGCTAGGCTGAAATATATTCTTGCACTGCAGCCCTGCAAACCAGGAGGACCTGCCAAAGCAAATGGAGCTTGCACTATGCTATAATGCAATGATAAAGTGTCAAAATCTTCTGTATTCCTCAGGGGACCAATTAGGGTGAACCTTTTTCAAGTTCAGCTTAAATACGTGACAGTGAAATTGAGCAAAGAAGAAAAAGGTGTGTAAGAGAAGTGTAAGGGCTGTGTTAAAAATAGCATCCTTCCAACTCACAGCTCTGGCCATTGATAAGGAATAAATCAGTCTGCAGTGGCTGTGGTGATGGGCTTGGAATATGATGCAACACAGCTGTGTTTGTTAGGAAAAAGAGGTAAATTTAGGCAGCTGAATCCTGGTCAGGGCATCAGTACCCATGTTATAAGGACTGGGGGAGATATACAAGAGATGTTCACTTGAAAATATATGAGGATTTCTTTACACGAGATTTCTGAAGTGACCAAACATAGGTTATGCTGTTCACATGATGTGTATTGTTTCTCACAAGGAACTACCAGTACACAACTGTTATGTAGTGGTAATGAAAAATATAAATGAATGCAGTTGTGTCCATTAATTGAAAGGCTTACAGGTCACAACCAAATTATTACTACTTCTCTCAACACCCCTCCATACTTTACCTCACCTCAGTTCCTTGCATTATAACACCTGGGAAAGGCATTGGGTCCATGGAGATTCTTTCCTGAAACTATGAAGTGATTCATCTGAAGCTCCTGATGCAACTCTCTGACCTCCAGAGGACAAGATGTGGGACCCAAGAAGAGAACTTGCAGCACATTTAACTTCTCAAAGGAACAGAAGTCCCAGATTTTTTTTTTTTTTAATTTACAATACCAATTCATCAACTTTTAGCTATTCTTGTATCAGTCCACAAAGGGACATCCAAAAGGAAAAACAATGGCCTATTCAAAGGATGTTTGTTTGAAGGAAAGCATTTCATGCTTGAGAGAAACAGTATCCATTGGGCTTTCAGAGGGGCTCTTGGCCAGCCACACCGCTGAATGGACAAGGCTAACTCAGACTTTTAAATGTTTTGTTAGTCTGGGCTGGAGATGTAATTGACTCTGTTCTACCTGCCCAGGCAAACATCTGCATGAGCAAAGGCAGGGCTCCCGAGAGCAGTCAGAGCATCACATGTGCAAAGTGGTAGAGAGCATCTGAAATCTGGGCTTGCTTACTTGATTGCCTGCAACTGTCAGAAGCACCCATGTGTTGAGATCATTATTGACTTTTATTTTAATTCTGCTCCATGTCATTTTAATTAAAGATGAAGTGATCTTTAGTTTATTTGATAACTAAGGAACAGGAAAAACAAGTAACCCCCTAATTCCCTGTCAAAAACCACTTCTACAGAAGTTTTCATTTTGGAGGGACAAATATCACTTCCACTTAAACAACCAGCACAAAGTGTAAGAAAAAGGTGAGTTTTATGGACATCCCATTACAGGGCCCAAGTAGAAGAGAGCATCGCAGTGGCTTCATGCTGTGCTTTTTGCCCAGGGATAAATTTCATTCGTGCCTTTGCCCTCCCTCCATTACAAGCCTTTTGCCCCGAATCACACACACAGCGATCACACTTTACATAAATATTCACTACCTCAAGAGGGGATGAATTTTCTGTCTAGGACAAACCTGATGCTTTAAGACAAGGTAGAGGGAAAATTCAATCAACTTCCCCTGAAACATGCTTCTGACCAAAATCATCACTACCCTGTCCAAGCAGGACAAAACCCATCGATGCCGGGTGCTCTGAGGAAGATGACACTGATGTGGTCCCAGCTGACACTGTCCAGTGGATGTCAGAGCCCACTCCTAGCTGAAAATCGACTCAGATCTCTTTTTCTGACCACACACTAGTAAGGACTGCCTGTGTTTGGTGCCAAGCCAATGCAGCTCTGAGGGGCATCCTCCACATTTGAAGAGAAAGGAGGAAACGATGCTCAGTTTGATAAAGAAAATATATCCGCAACATCTGGTTGAAGCCCTCAGGTTGCCAGGGCAGGAGGACCTGGTTTAGCAGAGAGAGCTATGAGATGGAGCAGGGGTGAGTGATAATTGCAATTACTCACCTTGGTTTTACCCCTCACAAGCAGTAATGTAGGCACAGGGTGTTCCTGTGGGCACAGTGACCCAAACCATGGTGCACCCCACAGCCACTGCCTGGGTGAGGACATTATTTATATAGTGATATATATTTTATGGCATACATGAATGATATATTATTTAATTATATATATTTATACAGTGACATGGAAAATGCAGATACAGGTCAAGTAAGACATCGAGGCTTGAGAAGAGCTTGTTACTACATCATGCGCTCTTGCTACATGCCTTAGTGTGGCCATACAACACTTCAACTTCAGAGGAAGAGGCTACATTCAGATATGTTTTAAAACAAATTCTGGTTATTTTTTGTTTTGTTTCAGAGTAGAAGCTCAGAATTTTTGAGATATAGCACCAAAGTGTCACCTGTCATTGCAAAAATGAGATTCTCCCAATGCTGAGATCAGCTGAAGGCTTGGGAATGGCTTTGAGTTCGTCAAAAAGAAGATGTGAAGCTTTGAAGCTCTGATTCACACACAAAAGCTCTTCCAAATAATTAGCATTTTCCCCATACATCCCTTACCCCTGCTCAGATCAAGCCTAGGTGCCAGCCTGGCTAACCAGCCCTCTGCCCTCCTCCTTCTGTGCCATTACTGCTGCTGGCAGGGATGTACTTACTCTAGCAGTATGACAGGAATTTTAAACGGGGGAAAAGATCTAGTGAAAACGAAGCCAGAGATTAAGAGGACAATCCTCCTGAGTTAGGAAATCTTCTCTCATGGTTATTTTTAATGTTTCCTGCTCTGCTAAAAATTAGCACAGGGGTTAGAAGGAACCCTGCAGTCAAATTTTAACAAATTCAAAGGGCTGCCTTCAATCTGTCTCTGTGGTTTCGAAAAATGGTAAAATCTTACATTGGAGAAGGAGGAAAGTGTCAGAACAAAAGAGCACAGCAATATTTTAGTATCCCTGCGAAGGGCTCTGGGTCATTAGGCAGCATGGTTTGCAGCGCAGCCAGGGAGCAGGGACCATCCTTTCCTATAGGCTACGCTGTAAATCTTTGCAAGTGGGACAGCGTCTGCTAGCGATGTGGTTCCTCAGCACATTTTTGTATGAGAAGAAAGCTCTGGCAAAAGCCGCGGCCAAGCACGCCCTGCCAGACCCGTCACAAGGAAAGTGGAGAAAGACAGCCAGGTTGCTGTGGCTCCTCCGAGCTTCCCAGATGAAGGAAAAGGAGAGAAGAGGGACTGAGAAATGAAATGTGAGCCCTCTAAATCGGAGCTGAGAACCACTGGCACTAACGGTGAATGAATCAAGTGAAAGACAGATGCGCTGGGATGTCACCTCATCCTCACCCCCACTCACTGCTACCCCTTCCTCCCTCTCTGAAGTCCTCAGTGCAGGAGAATCGGAAGCCCTTGTAAAAACCCAAGTTTCTACTCCATCCAATACCACCCTCTGCTGCAGCACTCATTTGCCCCTCCAAATAACAGTATTTAAATATCTGTGAAGAGAGAGACTGTACATAAGAAATTGGTCATACAAGGAAT